TATTTACGTGTTGCTGTCCTCGATAGTTGAGTTGATCATGTAGGTCTCTGGTTTGCCCACCAGAGATCTCAATGTCCTTGGTAGAGTTTCTGGTTGTAGTGGTGGTTAGAATGGATACTTCAGATGTACCAGCTGTTGTCGGAGAGGGATTGTCCTTTCCAACTTGTGTCTTTAGTGAAAGTTCTCTAGACAACTATACATGCCAGCTGCAGACTGAATTGATAAGGTATAGTGCATTGTCTTCTTCTTCACCTCGTGTAGAGGTTGAGAGTTTCAGAGTTTCTCCATTTCAAACGTGTGGACTAACGTCTCACGTTTTCTGGTCTTTCTAGTCTAACCATTTTGTAACGTGTAGCTTCAACTTCACGCTTTTTGGTTCTTGTGGAGTGTCAACCATTTTAAGCCTACTGGTCTGGTAGAAATTCAATCATTTGCAACGTTTGGCTCATGCTTCACGTCTGCTGCTCTGAGGTGAATTTCGTCACAAGGATTTTTATGCACTCTGGGTAAAAGTGGCGTTCCATCATGTTTGTGCTCATCTGGGCGTGGCCACTGACTGAGAACAAATCAATATGGAAAACAATAATCTCATCTAGAATGCTAAAATCACATTGTTATCTTCAAAAAAGTATTATTATACTTAATCATTTGTTTTATACAACAAATAGATGCAAACCTCATAACTGGGAAGTGTACCCCCCCAGAGATACAGTTATGTTGTTCCACCGTCTTTAATGACATCACAACATAGTCATGAATTTGACGTGATTGTTCTTTGAGTCCCCACCAACCATTTCCCACATACTTTTAAGTAGGAATGTTGTTTCATTATCCACTTTTGGATGTTGGAGTTTTGGCGGGAAGACTTCCTTTGTTAACAAAGGGGTCCTTTCTCCCAATACTTCATGGCAAGGAAGAGAAAGTCTCTGCAAGGAATTTACGACCGGTCATAAAACTGGCCCCCAGGAAAGGGGGTGCTCAAACCTTTGCCTAGCAGGAATATTTGATCCTCAGCCCATGAGGGCAAGTCATGACAAGAGAGTACTCCATGTCCATGCAAAAATACTACACCAATGTAGCACCTAATCACTGACATGTAGGCCTTAAGTGTTAGCCTACTTCCACTGTTACCTGATCCATAACCTGTAACTTAAGCCTGTAACTCAAGCCTGTAAGCCTATAACTTGACTAGTTATGAACCTGTAATCTGGTTCACAAATTTTGCTGCCTTCGGTGTGAGGATGTGTCAAGTCAGGATCAACATTCTTCATGCAGACTGAGTGCAGAGCTCTGCGCAATTCTGCTACCCTTATGAATGGCCCTACACCCCCTATTAACTCATTGCACCACAACCCCCCTACGGTGAACGCACCTTTTGCTCCTCCAACTTTGAGAGGGACTCTTCTGTGACCCCATGGTCATACAGGAAATCCGAGATGTTGATGATTGACATCTTTAAGAAGCTGGACTGCTAGCTACACATGTCCTGTGTAAATAGATAGATGTTAGCATATCTAGTGGTGCCAAAAAGTTGTGTTAAACCCAGTCATTTTGAACGGGGACTGTTTCATCTAAATTACACTATAGTGACCTGGAAATACGATGACATTGCTAAAGTAGGTAAATATTTAGCTGGAAACAACTTTGAAATCATCATCAGGTCGTCAAATTTACTTTAGTAGTGACAATGTTGTCATTAGGTAACAAAGTTCATAAAAATAGCTAGCAATGATAACGTTAGCTAGCTATCTAAAATCCACTGGTCTCTCAATCTAGCTTGCTAACATTATACTGCATCTAAAGTCAATCTGGCAACATAAAAATGATGACAAAGGTTTTCCTACTAATTATTTGCCTCCTTTTGAAATGTAATTTTTATAAGCCACTGTAATGAACAAACTAGATTTACAACTAGCGTACAAAAAATCTAAACGTTTTTGACTTTATCCACAAAATGTAATTTCGACTTCATTCTCGAAATGTTGCCACTTTTTTTTTAAAGTACTAACCGTGCAAAAAAAGGTTATTTAAATAAAAAAATCTCTCTGCACTTGGCCCTAATAATCTTCCGTAGATAGGCCTACTCCATAATACATATTTTGCTTAGATAAAAAAATGTACTCACTAAAACAATATTATTTCAAAGTATATTTTATAACGTTGGATCAGATTATGTTTGAAACATCTTGGGGAAAAAGAGTTTCCACATTTTTAAATCACATCATTTTTGTTGAGTATTCACATTAATTTACATTGGAATAATTTAATGCAATTGTGAGTGGAGAGGGATGTGCCAGGCCAAAATGACAGAGTGTTGTGCTACTGGCAGGGTGCATGCTGCTTGCATTAACTCTATTAAAGTTTAAGTCCATGATAAATTGTTAATCCTTTCACTGAAGGCAGTGTATTAGCCAACAGTAAGTGCTCTCCTCCTCTCTATGTCTCAGTCCCTTATGCTAAGAGCAAAGTGTAACAACCACTAGATGGACATTGCATTAAGAGACGGAAATGTGCCAAAAGTGCCAGCCAGAGTCCTCCCACTAAGGCTAATACAGTGGGGAGAACAAGTATTTGATACACTGCCGATTTTGCAGGTTTTCCTACTTACAAAGCATGTAGAGGTCTGTAATTTTTATCATAGGTACACTTCAACTGTGAGAGACGGAATCTAAAACAAAAATCCATAAAATCACATTGTATGATTTTTAAGTAATTAATTTGCATTTTATTGCATGACATAAGTATTTGATCACCTACCAACCAGTAAGAATTCCGGTTCTCACAGACCTGTTAGTTTTTCTTTAAGAAGCCCTCCTGTTCTCCACTCATTACCTGTATTAACTGCACCTGTTTGAACTCGTTACCTGTATAAAAGACACCTGTCCACACACTCAATCAAACAGACTCCAACCTCTCCACAATAGCCAAGACCAGAGAGCTGTGTAAGGACATCAGGGATAAAATTGTAGACCTGCACAAGGCTGGGATGGGCTACAGGACAATAGGCAAGCAGCTTGGTGAGAAGGCAACAACTGTTGGCGCAATTATTAGAAAATGGAAGAAGTTCAAGATGACGGTCAATCACCCTCGGTCTGGGGCTCCATGCAAGATCTCACCTCGTGGGGCATCAATGATCATGAGGAAGGTGAGGGATCAGCCCAGAACTACACAGAAGGACCTGGTCAATGACCTGAATAGAGCTGGGACCACAGTCTCAAAGAAAACCATTAGTAACACACTACGCCGTCATGGATTAAAATCCTGCAGCGCACGCAAGGTCCCCCTGCTCAAGCCAGCGCATGTCCAGGCCCGTCTGAAGTTTGCCAATGACCATCTGGATGATCCAGAGGAGGAATGGGAGAAGGTCATGTGGTCTGATGAGACAAAAATAGAGCTTTTTGGTCTAAATCCACTCGCCGTGTTTGGAGGAAGAAGGAGGATGAGTACAACCCTAAGAACACCATCCCAACCGTGAAGCATGGAGGTGGAAACATCATTCTTTGGGGATGCTTTTCTGCAAAGGGGACAGGACGACTGCACCGTATTGAGGGGAGGATGGATGGGGCCATGTATCGCGAGATCTTGGCCAACAACCTCCTTCCCTCAGTAAGAGCATTGAAGATGGGTCGTGGCTGGGTCTTCCAGCATGACAACGACCCGAATCACACAGCCAGGGCAACTAAGGAGTGGCTCCGTAAGAAGCATCTCAAGGTCCTGGAGTGGCCTAGCCAGTCTCCAGACCGGAACCCAATAGAAAATCTTTGGAGGGAGCTGAAAGTCTGTATTGCCCAGCGACAGCCCCGAAACCTGAAGGATCTGGAGAAGGTCTGTATGGAGGAGTGGGCCAAAATCCCTGCTGCAGTGTGTGCAAACCTGGTCAAGACCTACAGGAAACGTATGATCTCTGTGATTGCAAACAAAGGTTTCTGTACCAAATATTAAGTTCTGCTTTTCTGATGTATCAAATACTTATGTCATGCAATAAAATGCAAATTAATTACTTAAAAATCATACAATGTGATTTTCTGGATTTTTGTTTTAGATTCCGTCTCTCACAGTTGAAGTGTACCTATGATAAAAATTAGAGACCTCTACATGCTTTGTAAGTAGGAAAACCTGCAAAATCGGCAGTGTATCAAATACTTGTTCTCCCCACTGTATGTTTATTTGGACCATTCTCTGTGGGTTTTATAAGATGACTGTTTCTCCAAGACACCCATTGAAACTGAAATACCATTATTCAACTGTAATTTGAATTGAAATGTTCTTTTAAATTGCAGCTTTGTGACATTATACAGTGAATTTATCAATTAGTGAAAACATGAAGGTACAGTCAATGCTTGCGGCCCTTGCATCAATGCTCACAACAACACCATTAGTCATAAAAGCCCTCTTAACGCTCACAGGTTGACGTTTATTGTCATGAGTCTTGTCCTAGAGGCAGAACTGAGCGATTTCCCTTTAGATATGCCAGTTGCAAAGTAAAAATCGGCTATATTGTAAAGATTCATTTAAATAAAAATGTGCTTTTTTGGTCAAAATTTAAGGTTAGGGTTGGGCATTAGGGTTAGCAGTGTGGTTAAGGTTAGGGTTAAGCACTCTGCAGAGCTGCCTCCAGAACATGATTCATGACGAAAAACACTAACCTGCTCAACACAATCAAAACACTCATCCTTCAATGCGAAGAATTATTCCCACATGGAGAATAAAACTTATCCCTCCAGTAATGATGTCTATTGAATAGTGGAACCCTGGAGAGATGACATGGGTTCAGCACAATAGGATAGCCTTTCTTTCGCACATTCAAGAGCCAATACGTTCTGAGATGAAAATATAATGTTTGGAGTGCTCAAATTGGTATACAAGCTGCTCTTTAAAAAGGCTAGTCAATAGATCTAGTCACCACATCCTATTTTATCATTTTATATTTATAAGTATATAGGGCACTGAATGAGCCAGTGAATTGAGTATGTTTTGGTCCACTGTGTCCCCATGGAGACTCTCTGCCCTATGGAGCCCACTGTTCCTTTGAGCCTGGGTCTTGTGGCTGGTCAACGTCCAATGAGCTGTCCTCTTGGAGGAGGGTCAGTGGGGAGGAACTGGGAGACAGTGAAGACATGCTGGGGACAGCGCTGCAAAATACACAAGGTAAATTGTGCAAAACACACCAGGTCAATCAAAGGTAACCAGGCCTAAAATTGCTGGGTAACACTTTATTTGAAGGAGGTATACATGAAGACACCTTTATGAGACCAGACATAAATAGCGGTTGGGTATTACAGTGTGCTGTATAAAGTACCAATTTTACACTAGACTGGTCCTCATCCTGGAAATTGGGTATTTTCTTGATACTCAGTCACTAAACACTAGTGGACATACAGTGTACTGAAAATAGAGTTCAATCTTGCAACCCTCTTATCGTATGTGCCATACAGTATAAGCACCTTTTGCACCCAATAGGTAATTGACCAGGAATAGTAAATGGAGATATGATGGTGTCAGTGGAGGCTGCTGAGGAGAGGATGGCTCATAATAATGTCTGGAACGGAGCAAAAGGAATGGCATCAAACACCTGGAAACCATGTGTTTGATGTATTTGATACCATTCCACCGATTCCGTTCCAGCCATTACCACGAGCCCGTTCTCCCCAATTAAGGTGCCACCAACCTCCTGTGGATGGTGTCCTACAGCTGTAGAGTTCGATGTATTCTCTGAGAATTGGTTTTCAGGTGCTGTTGAGTCTCCTCTCCATCAGGTCCTGGAGCTAGGAGAGGGGAACTACAGTATGAGAAGACTGTGTATAGGCAAAGACGATCCTCCAGGTTTCTTTCCACGTTTCTCATATTACACAGAGACCGGAAATCCATTTTGTTCTTTATGACTCCAATGGGATTTTCATTCCAATTCAAGTTTTCAAAACATTGGGGAATCTAATGCCTTTGTATGCCTAAAGGAGGAATGCCCTATGGGGTTATCACTGAATAGAATGACATCCTTTGGACAGTTTGTCGATGATTTACAATCAGTTATAACACCTGAGTATTATGAAGCCCAGCATTTTTACATTTACATTTAAGTCATTTAGCAGACGCTCTTATCCAGAGCGACTTACAAATTGGTGCATTCAACTTAGGATAGCCAGTGGGACAACCACATCTCGATCACAATAAGTACATTTCTTTAAACAAGTCAGTGCTAGCAGGAGTATGGTGTGATGTAAAACATGTCCTGTTGCTGCTGAAATGATTTCCATTCATTTTCTGCATTTCAGTTTATAGCTCCAATTGGTTTCAGTCCAAATCGACAAGCACTGTGCCAAGGCAATATTTATTGTTTTTGAGATGAGGACTGAAAGACTGATTTCTTCAGAGCTCTATCAGTCATGCCCTGTTGACTGGTGCACTACATCAGTGTCAGCTCCCCTCTGTGTTGCGGTTATCGGCTTCTCCCCCAGGGCACTTCCTGTTCCTGGCCGTGAGAAGGAATAGTTCCAGTCATGAGGTGTCTGTCCGGAGTCACTCCTTCCCCCAACCGGTCTCTACCACAGCCTGTCAGGTGAGAGGTGTAAATTGACCTATCTATCCAGCCACCCAATGGCTTCCTTACTGATGAGATAATCTCCCCTTCTAACAACATGCTCACTGATGACTCACTGATGAGTTCTAGACATCCTCATTAAGGGAGTTTTAGAAACACCCTCAAAAGATGCCAGAATCACACAACCATAGCCAAGGCCTGTCTATTGATTTGAATTTTTGGTAATTAGTCTGTTTTTCCCCCCCAGACAGCTGGTATATCATAGAGAGCAGTAATCTGGTACTACACACAGAATATCAAACTTCATACAGTTTTAAGTCATGTTAAAGTCTTCAAACAGTATGTCATGAAATTCACTAATTCACATCCCTTCTGGATGTCTCTGTCTGCAGTTGCATTTCTCCCTGTATCTCTATGGGGAGTTTAATGGCACCGTGCTGCTGTCACTAGAGGAAAACAGTACTACCACATCCCCGTTGGTGTGGGAGAGGTCTGGACAGTGGAAAGACAACTGGCAGGACATCTCTCTACAGCTACCTGCCCTCCTCAATGGGTATGGTGCCCTAATGTACTGCTTAATTACTGACCTGAGGTGTCAACACATAACGTTACAGTACATAAAGTTCAGAGTTAGAGTTTATTGAGTGATTGCAGTTTGATAAATGATTACTGTGAAAGAATGTGAAAGAATTTAGGGTATTTTAATAAAGCATAAACTAATATGAAATCTAGATTGAATGCCATACTGTGTTGCTCTCCATTCATTGTATGTGTGTTCGCCCAGGTTCCACCTCAAGGTGAAGGCTCTGTGGGGACCAGGCTCCAATGCTGACATCGCCCTAGATGACATCGCCCTGGGGGCAGCATGCTTTGACACAGGTAGCCCTCCATGTACACAACACAAACAGTCAGCTCTCAATGTAGATACTGTAACATACTGTATGGCTAGAGTACAGTGGGTGACTATTTGGAGGGCTCCCTAAATGTTTTAAGATTACATTTACTGATTGACTGATTATTTTGGCCTCCTGAGTGGCACAGTGGTCTAAGGCACTGCATCGCAGTGCTTAGGCGTCGCTACAGCCTGGGGATCGATTGGCCCAGCCTGGGGTTCGATTGGCCCAGCACCGTTTGGGTTAGAGGAGGGTTTGACCGGCGGGGCTTTACTTGGCTTTGGACGGTGTTTCCTCCGACACATTGGTACGGCTGACTTCCGGCTTAGTATTTTATTAGGATCCCCATTAGCTGTTCCCAAGGCAGCAGCTACTCTTCCTGGTCCAGGAACATTACATCATACAAATCATTGTGCATTTTACAAATATACATTGCTCCATTATTACATTGCAATATTACAATACTGGGTGTGTGTAGAGTGTGTGTTTTAAAGTGTGTTTTAGAGTGTGTGTCTTCACAGTCCGCGTTGTGCCTTGAGGTGTTGTATTATCTGTTTTTTTAAATCTGATTTGACTTGAGTTACTTGAGGTGGAAAAGAGTTCCAAGTACTCATGGCTCTAAATAGTACAATGTGTTTCCTAGCCTCTGTTCTGGACTTGGGGACTGTGTAGAGACCTCTCTGGTGGCTTGTCTTGTTGGGTATGTATGAGTGTCTGAGCTGTGTGTTAACCGGTTAAACAGACAGCTCAGTACTTTTAACACGTCAATACCTCTCACATAGACCAGTAGTGATGTAGTCAATCTTTCCTCTACTTTGAGCAAGGAGAGATGATATGCATGATGTTGATATTAGCCCTTTGTGTACATTTAAGGGCCAGACGTGCTGCTCTGTTCTGGGCCAACTGTAATTTGCCTATGTTATGCGAGCAGTGTGTTAAGAAGCAGTGTGGCTTGTAGGGTCATGCTTTAAAGACACGTCTCGACATTCCCCTCTCCTGAGACCGTTGGGGAGATACAGCGATGAGACAAGGTCATAACTACCAATTGGATATAAATAAAATAAGAAAGGGGCCTCTTTCATATAGATACAGCTAATTAGATTCCTTAAAGGACAACCGGTGATGTGGCCTATATCACTTTATCGTGGCATTCACCTGAGTGATGCCATGACATTTGTGTAGGAGGACCTGAATACATTCTAGTTAGGACACAGTAACATTCAGTGGAGAGCAATGCCCCATAACAACTGCTGATCCACCCCCATGGAGTTGCAGATGAGACCGTTAATAGAGCATGTCTTAAGACTGGAAACAATAGAGCCGTTGAAGAAGAGTCAAAGACAGAGAGGAGTCTTAACCGAAGAATGTTGCACGCAGATACGTCGGCTAACCGCCATCTCCAACTCAGCTGGAGAGCTCCCCTGGAAGCCCACACGCTGCCTGATTGCTTCTGAAAGGGGAAAACCGACCGTAGAATACTTCTCCCCGGGATTGAATCCGCAATCTGACAATAAAATCATCGGGTTCCAGTGTCATATACGTTTTTGTCCCACTGGAGCACCCATCTTCTTCACTCCATCGATTGTTATCTACCATGAAGCTCTTTGGTCCGGAATTTGGGGGGAAGCCTGCCAACCTTAGTTTTATTTGATAGGCATTGTACCCAGATGCGGTTGGGTAAATATTGGGAGGGAGGAGGGGGGATTGCAGAGGTATGCCCAGTCTCGTGCAAGGCATGCAGGTTGGCGACTCCAAACAGGCGCCAGTTGGGCGTGATATGATCAGCATGCAGATTTATCGGTCCCGATTACGTTTTACTGTAGCACATCTCCAGACCATCCAGAATTCCACAAATAGTTGCAGCTAAGTCATAACCTCCCTTATCTTGTCTCCTGCTAATACTTTCACGATTCTATTGTAGTCCGTGTGGGTTATAATGACATTATGAAGGGCAGCTCTGAACAGTTGAAACTGGATTTTAAAGAGCTGATTGACTCTCTGTTAGACACAAACAAAAAACTGATCATATCTGGCGCTGTGCCCTCTCTGAATCGTGGAATTGAACGCTTTAGCAGGATTCTTTTTTTTTTTTTTTTCACCTTTATTTAACCAGGTAAGCCAGTTGAGAACAGGTTCTCATTTACAACTGCGACCTGGCCAAGATAAAGCAAAGTAGTGCAATAAAAACAACACAGAGTTACATATGGGGTAAAAAAAAAACATAAAGTCAGAAATACAACAGAAAATATATATACAGTGTGTGCAAATGTAGCAAGTTATGGAGGTAAGGCAATAAATAGGCTATAGTGCAGAATAATTACAATAGTATTAACACTGGAATGCTAGATGTGCAAGAGATTATGTGCAAATAGAGATACTGGGGTGCAAAAGACTAAAATAAATAACAATATAGGGATGAGGTAGTTGGGTGGGCTAATTTCAGATGGGCTGTGTACAGGTGCAGTGATCGGTAAGGTGCTCTGACAACTGATGCTTAAAGTTATTGAGGGAGATAAGAGTCTCCAGCTTCAGAGATTTTTGCAATTCGTTCCAGTCATTGGCAGCAGAGAACTGGAAGGAATGGCGGCCAAAGGAGGTGTTGGCTTTGGGAATGACCAGAGAGATATACCTGCTGGAGCGCAGACTACGGGTGGGTGCTGCTATGGTGACCAATGAGCTAAGATAAGGCGGGGATTTGCCTAGCAGTGATTTATAGATGGCCTGGAGCCAGTGGGTTTGACGACGAACATGTAGTGAGGACCAGCCAACAAGAGCGTACAGGTCACAGTGGTGGGTAGTGTATGGGGCTTTGGAGACAAAACGGATGGCACTGTGATAGACTACATCCAATTTGCTGAGTAGAGTGTTGGAGGCTATTTTGTAAATGACATCGCCGAAGTCAAGGATCGGTAGGATAGTCAGTTTTACGAGGGCATGTTTGGCAGCATGAGTGAAGGAGGCTTTGTTGCGAAATAGGAAGCCGATTCTAGATTTAACTTTGGATTGGAGATTCTTTATGTGAGTCTGGAAGTTGAGTTTACAGTCTAACCAGACACCTAGATATTTGTAGTTGTCCACATACTCTAGGTCAGACCCGTCGAGAGTGGTGATTCTAGTCGGGTGGGCGGGTGCTAGCAGCGTTCGATTGAAAAGCATGCATTTAGTTTTACTAGTGTTTAAGAGCAGTTGAAGGCTACTGAAGGATTGTTGTATGGCATTGAAGCTCGTTTGGAGGTTTGTTAACACAGTGTCCAATGAAGGGCCAGATGTATACAAAATGGTGTCGTCTGCGTAGAGGTGGATCTGAGAGTCACCAGCAGCAAGAGCGACATCATTGATATACACGGAGAAAAGTGTCGGCCCAAGAATTGAACCCTGTGGCACCCCCATAGAGACTGCCATAGGTCCAGACAACAGGCCCTCCGATTTGACACACTGAACTCTATCTGAGAAGTAGTTGGTGAACCAGGCGAGGCAGTCATTTGAGAAACCAAGGCTATTTAGTCTGCCAATAAGAATGCGGAGGTTGACAGAGTCGAAAGCCTTGGCCAGGTCGATGAAGACGGCTGCACAGTACTGTCTATTATCAATCGCGGTTATAATATCGTTTAGGACCTTGAGCGTGGCTGAAGTGCACCCGTGACCAGCTCGGAAACCGGATTGCATAGCGGAGAAGGTACGGTGGTATTCGAAATGGTCGATGATCTGTTTGTTAACTTGGCTTTCGAATACTTTCGAAAGGCAGGGCAGGATGGATATAGGTCTGTAGCAGTTTGGATCTAGAGTGTCACCCCCTTTGAAGAGGGGGATGACCGCGGCAGCTTTCCAATCTCTGGGGATCTCAGACGTTATGAAAGAGAGGTTGAACAGACTAGTAATAGGGGTTGCGACAATTTCGGCGGCTAGTTTTAGAAAGAAAGGGTCCAGATTGTCTAGCCCAGCTGATTTGTAGGGGTCCAGATTTTGCAGCGCTTTCAAAACATCAGCTGTCTGAATTTGTGTGAAGGAGAAGCGGGGGGGGGCATGGGCAAGTTGCAGCAGAGGGTGCAGAGTTGGTGGCCGGGTTAGTGGTAGCCAGATGGAAAGCATGGCCAGCTGTAGCAAAATGCTTGTTGAAATTCTCGATTATTGTAGATTTATCGGTGGTGATAGTGTTTCCTAGCCTCAGTGCAGTGGGCAGCTGGGAGGAAGTGCTCTTATTCTCCATGGACTGTACAGTGTCCCAAAACTTTTTGGAGTTAGTGCTACAGGATGCAAATTTCTGTTTGAAAAAGTTAGCCTTTGCTTTCCTGACTGCTTGTGTATATTGGTTCCTAACTTCCCTGAAAAGTTGCATATCGCGGGGGCTATTTGATGCTAATGCTGTACGCCACAGGATGTTTTTGTGCTGGTCAAGGGCAGTCAAGTCTGAGGAGAACCCAGGGGCTATATCGGTTCTTAGTTCTGTATTTTTTGAATGGGGCATGTTTATTTAAGATTGAGAGGAAATTACTTTTAAGGAACAACCAGGCATCCTCTACTGACGGAATGAGATCTATATCCATCCAGGATACCTGGGCCAGGTCAATTAGGAAGGCCTCCTCGCTAAAGTGTTTTAGGGAGCGTTTGACAGTGATGAGGGGTGGTCGTTTGACCGCGGACCCGTTACGGACGCAGGCAATAAGGCAGTGATCGCTGAGATCCTGGTTGAAGACAGCTGAGGTGTATTTAGAGGGTATGTTAGTCAGGATGATATCTATGAGGGTACCCATGTTTACGGATTTAGCGTTGTACCTGGTAGGTTCGTTGATAATTTGCGTGAGGTTGAGGGCATCTAGCTTGGATTGTAGGATGGCTGGGGTATTAAGCATATCCCAATTTAGGTCACCAAGCAGTACAAACTCTGAGGATAAATGGGGGGCAATCAATTCACATATGGTGTCCAGGGCACAGCTGGGGGCTGAGGGGGGTCTGTAGCAAGCGGCAACAGTGAGAGACTTATTTCTGGAAAGGTGGATTTTTAGAAGTAGAAGCTCAAACTGTTTGGGCACAGACCTGGATAGTATGATGGAGCTCTTCACAACTGGCTACGTGATTATTGCAGCTCAATGGGTGTAACTTTTGTTGACAATTTCGATACCTTTTGGAAACAAAACACGTTTTATAAGGAGGATGGGATCCACCCAAATCATTTGGGTTCCTGGATCCTTTCACAACATTATAATGCTGCATTGAGACAATGACTTATCAACTTATCAATGACCCAAGCCCAGCTCAGCTAATCCCTACCATTGTGATGCAGAGTTGTCATAATGCTTTAGCAAATGTACATTACACCAGGGGCGTCAGTAGACACAATATAAGTAACCTAATTTATGTCCCTCTAACTGCCCTGAATGCCTCTGCTGATCTTACAGCTATTGTATGCAGTAATCATGTGCCTAAGAACCAGATTTATACTGTTAGCACTGAGCCGGTGTGCCCTAGGAGGAAGTCCACTGTGTGCAGCTCACCCTGCACTAACATGAAGAACATGAGCACATCTACTGCTGCTAAGCTTCCCAGTAAAGCAAGAAAAACAAGTAAGCATCCCAGAAGAAAAGTGCTCAAAATAGCCTACGTTAACATATGTACAGTGAGGGAAAAAGTATTTAATCCCCTGCTGATTTTGTACTTTTTCCCACTGACAAAGACATAATCAGTCTATAATTTTAATGGTAGGTTTATTTGAACAGTGAGAGACAGAATAACAACAACAAAATCCAGAAAAACGCATGTCAAAAATGTTATAAATTGATTTGCATTTTAATGAGGGAAATAAATATTTGACCCCTCTGCAAAACATGACTTAGTACTTGGTGGCAAAACCCTTGTTGGCAATCACAGAGGTCAGACGTTTCTTGTAGTTGGCCACCAGGTTTGCACACATCTCAGGAGGGATTTTGTTCCACTCCTCTTTGCAGATCTTCTCCAAGTCATGAAGGTTTCGAGGCTGACGTTTGGCAACTCGAACCTTCAGCTCCCTCCACAGATGTATTATTATTATTATTATTATTTTCTATGGGATTAAGGTCTGGAGACTGGCAAGGCCACTCCAGGACCTTAATGTGCTTCTTCTTGAGCCAGTCCTTTGTTGCCTTGGCCGTGTGTTTTGGGTCATTGTCATGCTGGAATACCCATCCACGACCCATTTTCAATGCCCTGGCTGAGGGAAGGAGGTTCTTGAGCAGGGGGACCTTGCGGGCGCTGCAGGATTTCAGTCCTTCACGGCATAGTGTGTTACCAATTGTTTTCTTGGTGACTATGGTCCCAGCTGCCTTGAGATCATTGACAAGATCCTCCCGTGTAGTTCTGGGCTGATTCCTCACCGTTCTCATGATCATTGCAACTCCACGAGGTGAGATCTTGCATGGAGCCCCAGGCCGAGGGAGATTGACAGATCTTTTGTGTTTCTTCCATTTGCGAATAATCGCACCAACTGTTGTCACCTTCTCACCAAGCTGCTTGGTGATGGTCTTGTAGCCCATTCCAGCCTTGTGTAGGTCTACAATCTTGTCCCTGACATCCTTGGAGAGTTCTTTGGTCTTGGCCATGGTGGAGAGTTTGGAATCTGATTGATTGATTGCTTCTGTGGACAGGTGTCTTTTATACAGGTAACAAGCTGAGATTAGGAGCACTCCCTTTAAGAGTGTGCTCCTAATCTCAGCTCGTTACCTGTATAAAATACACCTGGGAGCCAGAAATCTTTCTGATTGAGAGGGGGTCAAATACTTATTTCCCTCATTAAAATGCAAATCAATTTATAACATTTTTGACATGCGTTTTTCTGGATTTTGTTGTTGTTATTCTGTCTCTCACTGTTCAAATAAACCTACCATTAAAATTATAGACTGATCATTTCTTTGTCAGTGGGCAAACGTACAAAATCAGCAGGGGATCAAATACTATTTTCCCTCACTGTAGATTAAGAAACAAGGTTCATGAAATCAATAATTTGCTAGTAACAGATGACATTCATATTCTGACTATCTCTGAAACTCACTTAGATAATACCTTTGATGATACAGTGGTAGCAATACAAGGTTATAACGTTTACAGAAAATATGGAAATGCCAATGGTGGAGGCGTTGCTGTTTATATTCAGAACCACATTCCTGTGAAGATTAGAGAGGATCTCATGTTAAATACTGTTGAAGTAATATTGCTACAGGTTCATCTGCCTCACCTAAAGCTCATTCTGGTGGGAAGCTGCTATAGACCACCAAGTAATAACAGTCAGTATCTGGATAACATGTGTGAAATGCTTGATAATGTATGTGAAATCAATAGAGAGGTATACTTTCTGGGTTTTTTAAATATTGTCTGCCTTTCATCAGGCTGCCCACTCAAGAGAAAGCTTAAAACTGTAACCAGTGCCTGCAACCTGGTTCAGGTTATCAGTCAACCTACCAGGGTAGTTACAAACAGTACAGGAATTAAATCATCAACATGCATTGATCATATCTTTACTAATGCTACAGAGATTTGTTTGAAAGCAGTATCCAAATCCATTGGATGTAGTGATCACAATATAGTAGCCATATCTAGGAAAACCAAAGTTCCAAAGGCTGGGCCTAATATTGTGTATAAGAGGTCATACAATAGGTTTTGTACTGATTCCTATGTTGTTGATGTAAAGAATATATGTTGGTCCGTGGTGTGTAATGAAGAGCAAACAGACACTGCACTTGACACATTTATGAAATTGCTTATTCCAGTTACTAATTAGCATGCACCCAGTACGAAAATGACTGTAAAAACTGATAAATCCCCGTGGATTGATGAGGAATTGAAAAATGGTATGGTTGAGAGGGATGAGGCAAAAGGAATGGCAAAAAAGTCTGGCAGCACAACCGATTGGCAAACATATTGCAAATTGAGATAATGTGACTAAACTGAATAAAAAGAAGAAGAAACTACACTATGAAACAAAGATAAATGACATAAAGAATGATAGTAAAAAGCTTTGGAGCACCTTAAATGAAATTTTGGTAAAAAGGCAAACTCAGCTCCATCATTCATTGAATCAGATGGCTCATTCATCACAAAACCAACTGATATTGCCAACTCCTTTAATTATTTTTTCATTGGCAAGATTAGCAAACTTAGGCATGACATGCCAGCAACAGTTGCTGACACTACACATCCAAGTATATCTGACCAAATTATAAAAGACAAGCATTGTAATTTTGAATTCCTTAAAGTGAGTGTGGAAGAGGTGAAATTATTATTGTTGTCTATCAACAATGACAAGCCACCGGGGTCTGACAACTTGGATGGAAAATTACTGAGGATAATAGCGAACGATATTGCCACTCCTATTTGCCATATTTTCAATTTAAGCCTACTAGAATGTTTGTGCCCCCAGGCTTGGAGGAAAGCAAAAGTAATTCCGCTACCTAAGAATAGTAAAGCCCCCTTTACTGGCTGAAATAGCCGACCAATTAGGCTGTTACAAACTGTTAGTAAACCATTGGAAAAAAATTTGTTTGACCAGATACAATGCTATTTTACAGGAAACAAATTGACAACAAACTTTCAGCATGCTTATAGAGAAGGACATTCAACAAGCACTTAAACAAATGACTGATGATTGGCTGAGAGAAATTGATGATAAAAAGATTGTGGGGGCTGTTTTGTTAGACTTCAGTGCGGCTTTTGACATTATCTGTCATAGTCTGCTGCTGGAAAAACCTATATGTTATGGCTTTACTCCGCCTGCTATATTGTGGATACAGAGTTACCTGTCTAACAGAACACAGAGGGTGTTCTTTAATGGAAGCCTCTTCAACATAATCGAGGTAGAATCAGGAATTCCCCAGGGCAGCTGTCTAGGCCCATTACGTTTTTTCAATCTTTACTAATGACATGCCACTGGCTTTGAGTAAAGCCAGAGTGTCTATGTATGCGGATGACTCAACACTATACATGTCAGTTACTACAGCGACTGAAATGACAGCAACACTTAAGAAAAAGTTGCAGTTAGTTTCAGAGTGGGTGTCAAGGAATAAGTTAGTCCTAAATATTTCTAAAACTAAAAGCATTTTGTTTGGGACAAATCATTCACTAAACCCTAAACCCTAAACCTCAACTAAATCTTGTAATAAATAATGTGGAAATTGAGCAAGTTGAGGTGACTAAACTGCTTGGAGTATCCCTGGATTGTAAACTGTCATGGTCAAAACATATTGATACAACAGTAGCTAAGATGGGGAGAAGTCTGTCCATAATAAAGTGCTGCTCTACCTTCTTAACAGCGCTATCAACAAGGCAGGTCCTACAGGCCCTAGTTTTGTCACACCTGGACTACTGTTCAGTCGTGTGGTCAGGTGCCACAAAGAGGGACTTAGGAAAATTGCAATTGGCTCAGAACAGGGCAGCACGGCTGGCCCTTGGATGTACACAGAGAGCTAAAATTAATAATATGCATGTCAATCTCTCCTGGCTCAAAGTGGAGGAGAGATTGACTTCATCACTGTTTGTATTTATGAGAGGTGTTGACATGTTGAATTCACTGAGCTGTCTGTTTGAACTACTGGCGCACAGCTCGGACGCCCATGCATACCCCACAAGACATGAGGACACACCAAAGGTCTCTTCACAGTCCCCAAGTCCAAACAGACTATGGGATGCGCACAGTACTACATAGAGCCATGACTACATGGAACTCTATTCCACATCAAGTAACTGATGCAAGTAGTAAAATTAGATTTAAAAAACAAATTAAAAAACACCTTATGGAACATTGGGGACTGTGAAGCAACACAAACATAGGCACAGACACATGCATCCACACACACGATAACATACGCACTATACACACACATATGTGGTAGTGGTGGAGTAGGGGCCTGAGGGCACACAGTGTGTTGTGAAATCTGTGAATGTATTGTAATGTTTTTAAAATTGTATGAACTGCCTTAATTTTGCTGGACCCCAGGAAGAGTAGCTGCTGCCTTGGCAGCAGCTAATGGGGATCCATAATAAATACAAATACAAATACAAATGTGTCTGTCTCCTTCCTCTCAGATCTCAACTCCCTGCTGCTCGGACACAGATTGTTCCATGAAATGGACTCCATCAGTGAGCTAGATTTCCTCAGCCCCCTCCCAGAGCCCTCTGCCTCAGGTACACTACAAGCTGTTCCAATTAAATATATTTAGCATTTCTATGACCAATGACCTTTGCAATTTTCGCAGTGGTTTTTCCACAGCCATTTTGCATAATAAACAACGTGCTTCCATTAATGTAATTTACTTTGATTTCCTCAGCAGCTGTGCTACCATATGTCTGTCTGTCTGTCTTCTTTCGGTGCAACACAGGGAGTTTGTTTGTTGACTGACATGTGACTTATATGTATGTCTCCTCTCTTCAGAGGTGTCCCTGATGACCTGGTGGTTTACATCCTGTGGGGCCAGTGGCCCCAGAGGCCCCACCCAGGCCCAGTGTGACAGCGCGTACCGCAACACCAACGTCAGTGTCACTGTGAGTAAGGACGGCCCGTTCAAAGGAGTGCAGATCTGGAGGGTACCAGCCACCAACAGATACATGTGGGTGCAAGTTTTGATATGTTCTTCTAATGTTGTAGAAACATGAACGCCACAGACAACAACTGTTTTTGCAATCGGAACACTTTTGCACTAGACTAAACCATAGGGTAGAGATGCTTGAAACAAGCCCCTTGACCAATGATTGCATCTGTACATCAATATTGACAGCTGGCAGCACAACCTGAGAAATCAGTCAACTGATTAAATACAGGTTAAATACTACTCTGTATCAACTTCATGTCACGTATCTGCTAGACCGATCAATATAGGCAAGTCTCTGGAGTATCAAGATTGATTTCCACATCATCCAGGTTAGGGGAGGGAGAGTATGACGTGGGCTCAGCCCCTGCCTGCCTTCCTGCACTGTGTGTGTGTGTGAGTAAGACTGGGGCAGAGTAAGAAGCGTGACTCACTGGATGGAGACTTAGATTAGTCTATCTGTGCTCACTCTCTCTCGCCCTAATCTGGCCCCTACCAAGGTTCCATGTAGAACCATTTCCACAGAGTGTTCTACATGGAAATCAAAAAGGGTTCTACCTGAAACCAAAAAGGGTTCTACCTGGAGCCAAAAAGGGTTATTCTATGGGGACAGCCGCGTAGTCTGGGGGCTCAGCTGAGCTCTGATTACAGTAAAACTACAGCTATGTCAATATTAACCATGATTTGAGCTGATGAAACAAGTTAGTGTTCATCTGTCAGGCACAGCCTTGACTTTGCCGCTGTTACAGCCTGATCCGAAGTGCTGTGAAACTTCTGATCCACTATAGAGACCAAAACCGGCTTGACTTCTTTGCCTCCTTTCTGCAATGTTCACTCCGTCTATTAGTTGAGTAGCCACTGTTATAAGGTCACCCAAGCCCCAAGCACCAAACATGGCCTTCAGTGGTCTCATCATGTGTTTACTGCATAGAAATAGAATGAATATAATGGGCTTGTAAGCTCTAACCCTGGCAATCTGACTGGTAAACTTGTAGGTACACTCGCAATTGCTGCCTGATATTGTGATGCAATAATTTCTATGGTATTTTGGAATGTTCTATCAACTGATGCTGGAATGCCATGGTAATGTAGCATGTTCATTTCAAATGATGCTAACTTATTTGGCTCGTACAATGGAATGTATTTTTTGTAATGTCAGTTGAGTTGATTCAACAAATCACAGCACATATTGAAGGGTACACTTCCTGCTTTTACTTCCTGGCATAGGTGCACTCAAAATTGCTGCCAGTCCACCCATTATGCCATCATTGACTTGAATAAAGACACACTTTCTATTCATTCCATTTCTATGGTTTACTGTGCCCTCCTTAGGATCTCAGCCTATGGAGCAGCAGGTGGCAAAGGAGCAAAGAACCACAACAAGCGCTCCCACGGGGTCTTCATCTCAGCCATCTTCACTCTTGAGAAGGGAGACACCCTGTATATACTGGTGGGACATCAGGGGGAGGATGCCTGTCCAGGAGTGAGTCGTAGAGGGGAGAGTTAGGCTACCTCGGGTGACATTATGGGTGGATAAACGGTCACACTTTATTTGGATAGTCCGGATTTTCCATTTGTAGATGCTCTACATATGGCCGTACTATCAACAGATATCTGTTGATAAGTAACTGATTGCTAAGGTTACGGTTAGGGTTAGAGTTAGGTTAAGAATAAGGGTTAGGATAAGGGTTAAAGTTAGGGCTATGGTTAGGGTTAAGTTTAGGGTTAGAATAATGGTTAAGGTTAGGGTAAGAGCTATGGTTAGGGTTATTAGATAGTTAGTTGAAATGTTACTGATATCCAAATAAAGTGTTACCGGATAACCTGCTGTTCAAATATGTCCGACTCATTTTAGTGAGCGTTAACTTTCCTTTCAACTTTCTGCTATCTCTGGTGCCATCCTGAAAGTCTTTACCTCCTGATGGTATGAAAGGAACATCTCAGACTTGCAGCCACTCTCTCTCTGATCTAACCGCATCCAATTGTTCTCTGTAGAGAAATCCCCTGACACAGAAGATCTGCCTGGGGGAATCCTCGGTGATAGAAGATGAGTTCACTGGTGAAGAGTGGGCAGGAGGAGGAGGGGGAGGCGGAGGAGCCACCTATATCTACAAGGTAAGAGACCATCCTCTTTACCTAACTTGAGTCAACTGTTCTCTGCCTTTATCTCATCTCCACAAAATGAAAGCCATGATGGTGTCCATCAGAAGCACATGTAGCTGTTAGATATTACATTTTAGTCATTTAGCAGACGCTCTTATCCAGAGCGACTTACAGTTAGTGAGTGCATACATTTTTCATACTGGCCCCCCGTGGGAATCGAACCCACAACCCTGGCGTTGCAATCGCCATGCTCTACCAACTGAGCTACACGGGACCCACAGGTTAGTTATGAACCGATTGATAAGCTTAGAAGAACTTCTGAAGCCATTCTAAAATATAATTTATCATGGTATTTATCTACAGATGTAGTGTTACAAGCAGTAGAGGTCAGATGTTATGTTAACTGGTTTGTACAAGAGCCCTTTAACCTAGAAGTTTTATCTCTTTGAAATGCTGGATTGGCCCCTAAGCTGCATTATGGACTATGACAGAGGGTAGAGTGGTACTCTTAAAAGCAAATTGCAGTCAGAAAATGTGATTTTCCTGTGTTTTATATATATTTCCACACTATGAGGTTGGAATAATACTGTGAAATTGTGAAAATTATGATAATGCCCAATAAGGGCTCTATTTCTGGCTGGCGTTAAGGCGGCACTAGTGTCAAATGCACAATAGTTTGCATTTTCCAGCCCTAACACCAGGTTTACCTGTCTAATATCAGCTCGCTTGCGCTCAGATAGGCGGGGTGGAAATATTTAAGGTGTGTCCTTAAAAACATAATCCAAACTGCTAATTTCAGGCAGCGCTGATAGGGATATTTAAGACCAACCAAAAGCTGGTTTTAGCGGTACCGCAGTTGGTTATGGCATGAATTCTGACAGCGGAACCGCAGTCTGTCCATCCGTGAAGCACACTGCCCATGTGCGCATGGAACATGGGTAGCCTAATGTGCTTTTGGTGCCTGTATACTTCGTATTTAGAAACATTTAATTAAAAACCAAGCTTTGTCTGCCCAATGCAAAGTAGTCAAGACTGTCGATAAAGGGTTTGGCTCCTGAGACCGCTTGGAAATAAATCTTAATCACCAAAGCTTTATTAAAATATCTAGTTTGAGAGGAGTAAAACAGTGAGCTGATATTCCCTTTTTATCTATGCATTGTAAGCAGGCCCACATTATTTGAGCCATGCTGGTCCCGTTTTGGACATGCGTAAAACCCCCTCCATGATGTAGGCTACGTGTCCATGCCCATCCTGAAACGAGAGATGAGAACCTTGGTGAATAATGTTGAACCTCGTATTTAGAAGTTATCTGTAACCGGTAAAAATGTCTTGTTTTCCGTTTCATATGTTCAAAACCCAAGCCTTCCATTAGGCCTACTATAACGAAGGCTGGTTCAACAGCAATCTGTCTTTTTTATCCTAGAGATTTTATGACATCATTACATTTGACATTTATTTATTGTTGTTGTAAAAAAACAACAGATTGCTTGTTTTTTATTTTATTTTATTACAACCAAACTTATTAGAATGATTCACCTTCCTGGTTTTCTGGTGACAACGTAAGTGGCACGCTTGTAATGTAACTTCTGGAGATGTGTGAATGCGATCTGATCTGTAAGAGGGTTCCGATTATGTTCATAAAACATAGGCCTATTTGGGAGCAGTATAACGGTGAGTGGACATTCACCCTTTCTATTTATATGGGATCTTTGCCCAGCTACTGTGAAAAGTTTGGATGTGCGTAAAACCCTCCATAGTCTGCATTGTTCTAATATTAAAACAAGTTGTTGTTTTGAGAATTTGATTCTAATTATTCATTCTCTTTTTAGGCCTTATCAATAATAAATGTAATCTTGCTTATTGACAATGTTTGGCATGTCAATGCTCAGCCATAATTACAGTAGGCCTAGCCCCTACATCAGTGTGAATGCTATTGAAGCCGTGCAATTACTTAGAACAATATGGACTGCAAATGGGTTCAAGTTAACGTATTTAGCAAAGATAGGTCTACATTTAGTTATTTCGTTTCTGTAAGCCATTTAACAAACTATAATGGACTAACATTGGAACTGGAGTTGATACCAAGGCAGTACATAAAAGACCGTAAATACACAACTTGAAGCAACCACATACAGTATTTCGCCATGGAGCACGTCTGATTGGCCAGTGAGGGGCCAAGCCTAGACACACCCACAACTTGTTTATTCATCAAAACCCAGCCCTTTCGCGCCAACGCCAGCAAGTGCGCCGATAATTGTGTAAAATAGCAAAAATATTTCTGACACACCCATTAACCTATAGCGCTACTGCCTGCGCTTAGATTGACCATTGCATTAGGTTTGTTAAAATAAAGCCCTTAGTGTAAGAGCTTTTTGAAAAGACCGCCTGAAGTTTCAGCCTGTTTTAAATAATATGCCATTTAGCAGACACTTTTATCCAAAGCGACTTACAGTCGTGCGTGCATACATTTTTGTGTATGGGTGGTCCCGGGGATCGAACCCACTACCTTGGCGTTATAAGCGCCGTGCTCTACCAGCTGAGCTACAGAGTTTTGGCTCGCCTGGTGACATCACCAGCGATAAATTACAGTTCCAATCCTCTCTGCCAATAACAGGTAATTTTCAGTTTTCACCTCCCCGCTCAGACCATTCCCAGACAGTCCTAGCAAATTTCTTGCTTGAGAAAATGCTCTTTACTAAGAAGCTTTATTTTTTATTTTTTTACCATTTTAATTGAAAACAATCACAGTAAGGTTTAATTGTTACCCATAAATAATTTGATATTGAGATAAAAATGACTGCATTGGACCTTTTAAGCTGCTATTGTGTTTGACTGTGCCCCCTGCCAGATGGAGGGTGGGGTGCTGGTGCCTCTACTGATAGCGGCTGGTGGTGGAGGGAAGGCCTACCTAGAGGACCCAGAGAGCAGCCTGGACCAGATCCCTCTGGAGCAGTATGAGAACGACACAGTGGCCTCCAGCTCCAATGGCAAGACTGGAGCAGCAGGTTGGTCGGGTTGCCCCATCACTTCACCCCCTCCAATTTTCCCTTCCCTCTGAGATTATCTTCACAGAGCTAGCTATCTGCTTCTTGAAAACACATGGCTTTCATTTCTCTGACTGCTAAAGCTCCTACTTGAGCGTCTTCAGTAGAACGTGTCAGAGAAAGGGCAGGAGTGCATGTGTTTGTATCAAGCTGGCCCTGACCCCTGGTTATCCTATGGGTCCGCTCATAATCTTGGTTGCAGCCTTTTGACTTATGCAACTATTGAAAAGGGAGAAAATACATACTGTATATGGCAGTACTGTATTAATGTACTTGGAAAAGATTAATGGAACAATTCCAGTAAATCCTCCTTGACCAGCAGGGTCTTGTGGAGCAATTATCGGAACATCTTATGCAAACATCAATGGAAGAAGTGTTTAGAGAGCGTGATGGCTAAATGAGGTGTGTGTGTGTGTGCTGCAGGGGGAGGTGGAGGCTGGAAGGACTCGTCCAGCCAGCTGTGGGCTGGGAAGTCTCTCCTGGAGGGGGCCGAGGGGGGTTCTTCCTGCCCCCAAGCCTTATCCAAACTGTCCTGGGCCACCTTCGGGGGGTTCGGAGGGGGAGGGGGAGCCTGCACTGCTGGAGGAGGAGGAGGTGGATACAGAGGTAATCTAACACATACACATAATAATATTTACTGCTTTCCTATGTGCCATACTGTACTGTTAGGGGTGTTATTATAGTATTTAAGATCCTCCCTCTGTAGCCTCCTGCTCTTTTCTAGCTGGGATGAATCGGACAAATACATTTATGCTGGAGAATTTCCATTGGCCCCAAGGAAAGGGGCAGGCTGATAACATTCACTGCTTTTCTGTCTTTATCTGGTATAATTTAAAAGTCGTGGATTGGTGACAGAATAAACATCCCTCTCTGAATGTTGTGATATTATGAGACAGATTAAACCCATACTGAGATCATGAAAGATCCTGTTCTTTGTTTTGGCTGGGGAAGAAAGTTCTACTTAATTGACTGATAAGATTGGAGGTCCATTTGGCTCCTCTGCAAAACATGGCACACACTGAGAGGAGATATGCACAGATTGAGAAACATTCGATTTCTTTCAGCATCGTTAATATACCACACATACCACACATACTCGCTACACCCACAATAACATCTGCTAAACATGTGTATGTGACAAATACAATTTGATTTGATTTGATACCCAAATCAAATCAAATCAAATCAAATGTTATTGGCCACATGCACCGAATACAACAGGTGTAGACATTACCGTGAAATGCTTACTTACAGCCCTTAACCAACAATGCATTTATTTTTTAATAAAAAAAGTAAAATAAAACAACAACAAAAAAGTGTTGAGAAAAAAAGAGCAGAAGTAAAATAAAATAACAGTAGGGAGGCTATATATACAGGGGGGTACCGGTGCAGAGTCAATGTGCGGGGATCACCGGCTAGTTGAGGTAGTTGAGGTAATATGTACATGTGGGTAGAGTTAAAGTGACTTTGCATAAATAATTAACAGAGTAGCAGCAGCGTAAAAAGATGGGGTGGGGGTGGGGGGGCAGTGCAAATAGTTTGGGTAGCCATGATTAGCTGTTCAGGAGTCTTATGGCTTGGGGGTAGAAGCTGTTGAGAAGTCTTTTGGACCTAGACTTGGCACTCCGGTACCGCTTGCCGTGCGGTAGCAGAGAGAACAATCTATGACTAGGGTGGCTGGAGTCTTTGACAATTTTGAGGGCCTTCCTCTGACACCGCCTGGTATAGAGGTCCTGGATGGCAGGAAGCTTGGCCCCAGTGATGTACTGGGCCGTACGCACTACCCTCTGTAGTGCCTTGCGGTCGGAAGCCGAGCAGTTGCCATACCAGGCGGTGATGCAACCAGTCAGGATGCTCTCGATGGTGCAGCCTCAGAATCTTTTGAGATTCTGAGGACCCATGCCAAATCTTTTCAGTCTCCTGAGGGGGAATAGGCTTTGTCGTGCCCTCTTTACGACTGTCTTGGTGTGTTTGGACCATGATAGTTCGTTGGTGATGTGGACACCAAGGAACTTGAAGCTCTCAACCTGTTCCACTACAGCCCCGTCGATGAGAATGGGGGCGTGCTCATTCCTCTTTTTTTTCCTGTAGTCCACAATCATCTCCTTTGTCTTGGTCACGTTGAGGGAGAGGTTGTTATCCTGGCACCACACAGCCAGGTCTCTGACCTCCTCCCTATAGGCTGTCTCATCGTTATCGGTGATCAGGCCTACCACTGTTTTGTAGTCGGCAAACTTAATGATGGTGTTGGAATCGTGCCTGACCATGCAGTCATGGGTGAACAGGGAGTAAAGGAGGGGACTTGAGCACGCACCCCTGAGGGGCCCCCGTGTTGAGGATCAGTGTGGCAGATGTGTTGTTACCTACCCTTACCACCTGAGGGCGGCCCGTCAGGAAGTCCAGGATCCAGTTGCAGAGGGAGGTGTTTAGTCCCAGGATCCTTAGCTTAGTGATGAGCTTTGTGGGCACTATGGTGTTGAATGCTGAGCTGTAGTCAATGAATAGCATTCTCACGTAGGTGTTCCTCTTGTCCAGGTGGGAAAGGGCAGTGTGGAGTGCAATAGAGATTGCATCATCTGTGGATCTGTTGGGGCGGTATGCAAATTGGAGTGGGTCTAGGGTTTCTGGGATAATGGTGTTGATGTGAGCCATGACCAGCCTTTCAAAGCACTTCATGGCTACAGACGTCAGTGCTACGGGTCGGTAGTCATTTAGGCAGGTTATCTTAGTGTCCTTGGGCACGGAGACTATGGTGGTCTGCTTGAAACATGTTGGTATTACAGACTCAGTCAGGGACATGTTGAAAATGTCAGTGAAGACACTTGCCAGTTGGTCAGCACATGCTCAGAGTACATGTCCTGGTAATCCGTCTGGCCCTGCGGCCTTGTGAATGTTGACCTGCTTAAAAGTCTTACTCACATTGGCTACGGAGATCACATAGTCATCCGTAACAGCTGGTGCTCTCATGCATGCTTCAGTGTTGCTTGCCTCGAAGTGAGCATAGAAGTGGTTTAGCTCGTCTGGAAGTCTTGTGTCACTGGGTAGCTCGCGGCTGTGCTTCCCTTTGTAGTCTGTAATAGTTTTCAAGCCCTGCCACATCCGACGAGCGTCAGAGCCGGTGTAGTACAATTCACAGTACTGACTCTTTGCCTGTTTGATGGTTCGTCGGAGGGCATTTCTTATAAGCGTCCGGGTTAGAGTCCCGCTCCTTGAAAGTGGCAGCTCTACCCTTTAGCTCAGTGCAGATGTTGCCTGTAATCCATGGCTTCTGGTTGGGGTATGTACGTACGGTCACTGTGGGGACGACGTCATCGATGCACTTATTGATGAAGCCAGTGACTGATGTGGTGTACCCCTCAATGCTATCTGAAGAATCCCGGAACATGTTCCAGTCTGTGCTAGCAAAACAGTCCTTGTAGCTTAGCATCTGCGTCATCTGACCACTTTTTTATTAACCGAGTCACTGGTGCTTCCTGCTTTAGTTTTTGCTTATAAGCAGGAATCAGGAGGATAGAGTTATGGTCAGATTTGCCAAATGGAGGGCGAGGGAGAGCTTTGTATGCGTCTCTGTGTGTGGAGTAAAGGTGGTCTAGAGTTTTTTTTCTTCTGGTTGCACATTTAACATGCTGGTAGAAATTAGGTAGAACTGATTTAAGTTTCCCTGCATTAAAGTCCCCGGCCACTAGGAGCGCTGCCTCTGGATGAGCGTTTTCCTGTTCACTTATGGCCTTATACAGCTCATTCAGTGCAATCTTAATACCAGCATTGGTTTGTGGTGGTAAATAGACAGCTATGAAAAATATAGATGAAAACTCTCTTGGTAAATAGTGTGGTCTACAGCTTATCATAAGATACTCTACCTCAGGCGAGCAAAACCTCAAGACTTCCTTAGTATTTGATTTTGTGCACCAGCTGTTGTTTACAAATATACACAGACCGCCACCCCTTGTCTTACCGGAGTCAGCCGTTCTATCCTGCCGATATAGCGTATAGCCCGCTAGCTGTTTGTTGTCCATGTCGTCATTCAGCCACGACTCGGTGAAACATCATATATTACAGTTTTTAATGTCCCGTTGGTAGGATAACCGTAATCTTAGGTCATCTAATTTATTTTCAAATGATTGAACATTGGCTAATAGGAATGATGGAAGAGGCAGTTTACTCGCTCGCCGTCGGATCCTTACAAGGCACCCCGACCTACGTCCACGATATCTCCGTCTCTTTCTCATGCGAATGACGGGGATTTGGGCCTTGTCGGGTGTCTGTAGGATATCCTTTGCGTCCGACTTGTTGAAGAAAAAATCTTTGTCCAATACGAGGTGAGTAATGGCTGTCCTGATACCCAGAAGCTCTTTTTGGTTATAAGAGACGATGGCAGAAACATTATGTACAGAATAAATTACAAATAACGCGGAAAAACACACATAATAGTACAATTGGTTAGAGGGCTGTAAAACGGCAGCCATCTTCTCTGGCGCCATTCTATATTCAGACCTTCTTTGTTCAAAATAAAGATTGGCAATTATAATGTGAGCATATGTTATGCAAGCAATAATAAACCATTGTTATTATTAGCTCAAACATAGACTTTTAGAGCATCAATCTCTTTGAAATCTCTCTGCATGCATTTATCTTTGATATCGTGTTTAATCTAAATCAAGGTGGCGATGCAGCACTGACTGATGATATCACAGCGGGCGGTCAGGATGGCATCTCCTTTGTTAATCCCATGGGGGAGATATTTCTCCAGCCGCTGGCAGGTAAGGCTTTCTCCTCCTACATCAGTGTCACTGGGGGCCAGGAGAGAGGAGAGAGGAGGGAGAGAGCAGAGAGAGAGCCCAGGCCGTAACACAGAGGTCTGTGTCTCTCTACCACCTGACTCTAATTCAGTGGGAGAAGAAGGGATGGGCTCCTCAGGCCTCAGACACTCGTTAACTAATTCAGGGCCTCACGGATCCTGTTGATCCTGGTGCCATGCTGTCTGCTCTTTTTTTGCTGATGTAGAGGAACAGACAGCCCCTCAATTCTTTACGGCACGACAATGTCATTTGTGTCCAAAGCATGTGCCGCCAGTGCAGCCCGGAATACAAAGCAGTCCTCTGTGTAGTGACAGACATGAGAAAGACACAAACTAAAACAGATCAACTGACCCATGGCCATGCACTTCACAGTGAAACCATGATTTGTTTAAGAATTGAACTCCAGTGTTTGACAATGTTATGAAGAAGAGAAATAACTCTGATTGCGAAACATCTTCTCTTTTTAGTCATAGATATTGCTAAGTTGACCACTGCTTGTGCTACAGCATTCTTATTGTGAGATTCATGTGGTGATGTAACTTCCTCTGTCATCCTCTCCACTCAGCCATGGAGAGCCATGGAGAATGTGAGATCAAGGTGCAGCTCAACTGCAGTCACTGCCAGACCCAGAGCTGCAAACGGGACGAGGACACTCAACTCATCATCTGCCTCTGTCACAACGAGGAGGTGCTAGCCAGTGACAACGTCACCTGCACAGGTAACAGTCAAGGAAAAACCCAAATTTACTAGATGTGTTTTGGGATCATGAATGCAAAATAAACAATTCTGTCCTTGAGAATTTCACAGATCTGCCACTGTGTTTCTCATTAAATGGTACTCTCATAAAAGGAGAGAAATGGAATGGAAGGAACTACCTCTCTAGTAATCCCATTGTATTTGATACATTGTTATGATCTGAGTGGTTCTCCATCTTCCCCTGCTTAACCCTGACCTCTGACCCCCCCCCCCCCCAGCAGCCCCTCAGGGCCTCGCTCCAGAAGGCCAGCTGTCCCTGTCCCTCATCCTGGCCGTGGTGGCATCCACCGTGGTGACGGTCATCATCCTGACCTGCGCCAGCCTCACCCTCAGTAAGAGACTCTTCCAGTTCTGTGTTGACTCTGTGCCCTCCACCTTTCACCGTCTGTGAGCTGTGAGCTTCTCTCCATGCCAATGATACTGTATTTAACTTTCAGACAATGAAAGCATCATGAAAAGGCAGGAGCTTGGCATTTTAAACCAAGCTGTGGTTTAATGTTTTCTCTTTGAGGGAAATGTGTTGGATGAGAGTGAATGGCGGAAGTCCATGATTCAACACTGCAGTTAAAAGCCATGAAGATATTTGTAGAAAATAGTACAAAAGGTGGCCTTTTAGGAATTGTTGCTTATATCCTCTTTTGGGAAATCCCCATTGACAAAAATGGGTTTGTCTTGTCAGCCCTTGGGCATTATATTTCTTCCAGATATCAAGCCTGGTAGAGACTATACTAAACTGATTTTAACTGAGATACACATACTTTTGGTGGGCGTAAGGGATTACAGTGAGCTTAACCACCTTTCACTCTTGCACTTTATTTCAGACCACAAAATCTAAGACGTTTCTGTCAGAGTGAAGGGGTTGGCTAAGTATTCATTTAGTTGTCTGGCACATTGGGATTGATGGTCCCAAGTATGTGCAATAACATATACTGTTTATCTATTCATGCTTAAAAATGCACATTGGACAAATTTCCACACCAGTAACAATTCTTACCCTCTATACTTGTTTTATAATCACATGGGTTTATTTTAATTCAAGGTGAAACATGGTTTAATCGCTTAATGCTAATGATTGCACAATACACCTGCTAAAAGGAATGATTAGGGAATTAGGGAAATTACTGCTATTAACCTTTAAATTGTACCTTTGATTATTCTGCTTTGGAAACATTGAGGAGTCAAAGAGAGAATAATAATCTATTATACTAATATTAGTGTCTAACCTCATCTTGCCAATTGGTGATCAATGATCAATATCATAATGAATGCTGCTACTGTGTTATATGTGTACTTTATGTGTGCTCATGCTCCAAAAATGTACCAATTGTCTTATTAATTTTTGGGCCAGAAATGTAGGACAGTGAGGGATTATTTTATGTTTCTCTTTGCACTGTTCCCTTTTTGATGACCGTGTGCTGCAATAAGAGGGGATGGGAATTCTGGCAGTGTAGCACTCTTACTTTCCTGCCAGTGCTGATTAAGGAGTGTCTAACCATGGAGTGTCTTACCATGACAGAATGTTACTTAAGCTTTAAAAGCACTGTGGTAGTGACTCATCACTTTGCATAGGCCCGTCGGGATCCAAGCATTACTGCCTTACTGTGAAATGATCTACTCTAATCCCCTATACTCCTCTCATATGGTGTACATCGCTCAACTGTGGAGGAGTTAATACTAACAACAATTAAAATACAGTGTCAGGATATTAACGGTTAACTACATGTGATAGATAACTTTTGTCCATGAAGGCAACAAACATCCCACTGGGCACAGACGTCAATTCAACATCTATTCCACGTTGATTCAACCAGTGTGTGCACAGTGGGATGGTATAACACTTCACTCCACGGTGAAGCTTTGGTGATGTCAGACAAACTGACATCACCAAATATCAACCTTCCCTCTATGTCAGTATGAGATCCTCATATTTAGAGTTTGACTTGTGCACTAACTGTAACACACTGTGCCATGACTGAAGTGTAACTGTACTTTTTTCCATTGCTAAATAAATAAAACCTGTCATTAACACAAAGCTTCACTGTGGAGTGAAAGTCCCTTTGCGTAAGACCACAGAACTTTCCAATAAGCCTCAGAGGAAGTGATATCAGAGCTGCTTCCTGTCTCCAGCACTGTCAATTCAAAAGGCATACTGTACAGTATCAGTATATAGTTTCACTATATCCTTAACACACAACATGCATAACACACACAACACAACACACACACAACTCAACTCAACCCAACCCAAAAGCCAGATGGTCATGCAGCCCCACTGTGGCCCATGGTGAGGTCCCTTCCAGGTGGAGACAGACCTCAGACAGTTAACGTTGTCTCTTCACCTGAGCTCTCCCCCATGTAGGTTGGTAGTCTGTCCACGGCCCCCCCACTCCTCCCCCCGAGCGTCGCGTCTGTCTGCATCTGCAGCTCGACGTCACGGCAGAGGGCACCTCTCACCGCCACGCATCGCCCCCCAGGGCCCCCACCCAGCCCCCCAGGCAGACTACCAACCTGCATCGGGGCCGCGGGCCGCCTCCACGGAGGGTGAGTCCTCGGTCCTCAACTCACAGACTCACAGCTAGTCACTGACTGGACCAGGGGCAGAGGCCAGAGTTTAGAGGACAGACAGACATCAGGGTAGTGTGTCTGATGCAGGGCTAGTGTGTTGTTATGTCTCTGATAGGTACAGTATAGCAACAGTTTGAAGCAGAGGGCTGTATGACGGTAACCAACACTGTCTTCCTGGTCTCTCTCTCTCCTACAGTATACTACCGTAAGAAGAACCATCTGCACGCGGTCAGGCTGCGTCTCCAGAGCCCAGAGTACAAGCTGAGTAAGATCCGGTCATCCACCATCATGACAGACTACAACCCAAACTACTGCTTCGCTGGCAAGGCTGCTTCGCTGAGTGAGCTGAATGAAGTACCACGCAAGAACATCACCCTCTTCAGGTAGTCCACACATACAGTACAGCTGACTGAGCACTGAGCTATAAGCTATAATGTGCATTACATGATGGAGTGAAGCTCTGGAGTGAAGCTCTTTGTCACCTGTCTGGCTTGGTGTGTGTTTGCAGGGCATTGGGCCATGGAGCGTTTGGGGAGGTGTATGAAGGCCAGGTTCTGGGGATGAATGGAGAGAACACAGTCATGCAAGTGGCTATAAAGGTCAGTTCCTCTAACTTCGGCTCCATAGCTCCTCCATGACTAAGAATACATCAGCACAGAACAGTTGAAATTATATAATTCCTCTTGGGCATTGCATATGCATGAATAGCCAAAACCCAGGAGTAGTAAGAAGATGTTTAATATTGATAACCTTTTGACTAAAATGCTAAGAGTAACTAAGAGTATTCCTCCTCTACGGCAGTTTCTCTCTACTTTTCCTTCATTATATGCACTGCTGGTCTGGTGTATTTACACCTGCCTTAAGAAAGGCTCTGGCTGGGATGTGGACAAAAAAGGTTGCCTGTTTGCCTCTGTGTTGTAAGTAACAGTGACGTACAGACCTATAACCTAACAAAGAAGATCATGCTGGTAACCTTTAAAAAGACTCCAACACTGATCTAAAGGTCATTCTGTGTTTCGCTGTGACACGACATGTCTGTTTGTATCACTTCTGCTTGGAAAAATGCAGGATGCAACTCAAACAATGACTGATTACATTATAATCTAAGAGTAGGTTTAAAATGTAACATCATTGCATCATACATACTGTAGACGTCAACATTGTACAGAACATAATTCATTAATTTAGTAATTCTGCTACATATATTAATTCATTCATAGATTTTCCTAGAAAACCTGGTATGAAAATCAACTGTAATTTCCTTGGGTGAATCAGCTGATGAGTGCATGCCATGGGGTGTCTCTCTCTCTGTATGTGTTCTGTTCTGAATAGGGCCTGACTGGCCTGACTGCCTGTTGGTAACTTTCTGCTCCACAGACTCTTCCGGAGATCTGCTCCGAACAGGACGAGATGGATTTCCTGATGGAGGCCCTGATTATGAGGTGCACTAGGCTGGAACACACAGGGCCTCATCTACTTCCTCTCTCTCTCTCTCTCTCTCTCTCTCTCTCTCTCTCTCTCTCTCTCTCTCTCTCTCTCTCTCTCTCTCTCTCACACACACACACACACACACACACACACACACACACACACACACACACACACACACACACACACAGTAACATAGTGTAATGTGTGAGGCAGGCAGACGAGACCCAAACACTGTCATACTATCACTTAGCGCTCTGCATTGTAATCTGCTGCTATGTTTCATTCGCTGCTTTTTTGTAACCAGCTCCCCAGCTGTTGTTAATCATAGTGAGTCAGGTAATTCATCGCCATCGAGGAAACAGCAGCTGGTTGCCAGAAGAAATCTGTCTCGCCTCCAAATGGTGTTCTGCTGAAAGCATTAGAAAGAATCTTTGTCGAGCAGATGCTGTCGGGCTAAGGCAGGCACAGCAGAGTATATAATAAGCAGCTTGGGTTAAATTGGGGCCCGGAGTGTTTCCTGATGATTTAATAACACTAGACACAGTCTAGACGTAAACACAGACGCATTCATGAATATGTAGATGCCACAATACCACATCAAACATAGCTCGAAAAAACAGTCCTGTACCCTGAAGCCATTGCAGCTGGTGTCTGGCCAACTCTCCTAGCCTGAGGTACAGTAGTGCATTCACCACCGCTGTTCTTGTGTGTCCACAGTAAGTTCAGCCACCAGAACATAGTGCGCTGCATCGGGGTGAGTCTGCAGATCCTGCCCCGCTGCATCCTCCTGGAGCTGATGACTGGAGGAGATATGAAGAGCTTCCTGAGACAGAACCGACCCAAAACGGTCAGTAGCAGAGTGTCTCTCAACTGCCTCAACTGTTCAACGACCCTATGGGTCTGTGTAGGTGTCTGTCAGTAGTAATGGTTTTGTGTGTGTGGTGTTTTTTCAGAGTCAGAGCTCCTCCCTCACCATGCTGGAGCTGTTACACATGGCCAGAGACATCGCCTTCGGCTGTCGCTACCTGGAGGAGAACCACTTCATCCACAGGTTACCATGTCCTCCTACCAAACCATTAACCTTTTGTATACAGTATTCATACTACATAAAGAGTTATTCAATGTTGTTTGTTGTGTGTTTCAGAGATATAGCTGCCAGGAATTGTTTGCTGACCTGCCCTGGACCAGACCGAGTGGCTAAGATAGGAGACTTTGGAATGGCGCGTGATATATACAGGTACACTTAACCACCAGTTCTCTCTGTCCCAATACCATGCTGCTTGCTGCTTCAGTTCAGCATCCACCAAACGTGATCTTAACGCCGTGTGATGTTTCATTTCTCCATTCTGTGTTTTCCCTAGCTGAAATCTTAACGTATCTGTTGGATCAGTCTAGTCTCGCTCCATGCAGTGAAGACTCGAGAGTACTATACCCATTGAGTTATAGAGGAGTTTGAGACACTAACCATGACTCATTCTCCTCCACAGGGCCAGCTACTACAGAAAGGGTGGCCGTGCCATGCTGCCCGTCAAGTGGATGCCCCCAGAGGCCTTCATGGAGGGCATATTCACCTGCAAGACTGACACCTGGTAACCCATTCACTCTATTACATGATGTATCCAAACTGTAGTTGAATGACTAGTAGCAGTACATACAGTGCCTTCAGAAAGTATTCATACCCCTTGACTTATTCCACATTTTGTTGTGTTACAGCCTGATTTTTTTTCTCAACCATCTACACACAATGACAAAGTGAAAACATGTTTTTAGAAATGTTTGCTAATATATTGAAAATGAAATACAGAAATATCTCATTGACATAAGTATTCACACCCCTTTGCAATGACACTCCAAATTGAGCTCAGGTGCATCCAATTTCCTTTGATCATCCTTGAGATCAACTTAATTGGGTCCACCTGTGGCCAACTCAATTGTTTGGACATGATTTAGAAAGAAACACACCTGTCTATATAAGGTCCCACAGTTGACAGTGCATGTCAGGAGCAGAGTGGTCTCCATCATTGGGAAATTGTAAAAATATGGAACTACCCAGACTCTGCCTAGAGCTGGCCGTTCGACCAAACTGAGCAACCGGGCAAGAAGGACCTTGGTCAGGGAGGTGACCAAGAACCCAATGACCACTCTGACAGAACTACAGAGTTATTTTGCTGAGATGGGAAAACCTGCCAGAAGCACAACAGTCTCTACAGCACTTCACCAATCTGGGTTTTATGGGAGAGTGGCCAGACGGAAGCCACGCCTGAGAAAAAGGCACATGACAGCACACCTGGAGTTTACAAAAAGGCACATGAAAGACTCTGAGAGCATAAGGCAAAAGATTTAGTGGTCTGATGAGACAGAAATTTAATTACCGGTCTAACACAATCCCTACTGTGAAGCATGTTGGTGCCAGCATCAATCCCCGCCTTATCTTAGCTCATTGGTCACCATAGCAACACCCACCCGTAGTATGCGCTCCAGCAGGTATATCTCACTGGTCATCCCCAAAGCCAACACCTCCTTTGGCCGCCATTCCTTCCAGTTCTCTGCTGCCAATGACTGGAACAAATTGCAAAAATCTCTGAAGCTGGAGACACTTATCTCCCTCACTAACTTTAAGCATCAGTTGTCAGAGCACCTTACAGATCACTGCACCTGTACACAGCCCATCTGAAATTAGCCCACCCAACTACCTCATCCCTATATTGTTATTTATTTTGCTCATTTGCACCCCAGTATCTCTATTTGCACATCATCTCTTGCACGTCTATCATTCCAGTGTTAATACTAATTGTAATTATTTTGCACTATAGGCTATTTATTGCCTTACCTCCATAACTTGCTACATTTGCACACACTGTATATATATTTTCTGTTGTATTTTTTGACTTTATGTTTTGTTTTACCCCATATGTAACTCTGTGTTGTTGTTTTTATCGCCCTGCTTTGCTTTATCTTGGCCAGGTCGCAGTTGTAAATGAGAACTTGTTCTCAACTGGCTTACCTGGTTAAATAAAGGTGAAATAAAATTAAAAAAAATAAAATGCTATAGGGATACTTTTCAGAGGCAGGGACTGGGAGACTGGTAAGGATAGAGGGAATAATGCATGGAGCCAAATACATGGAAATACAGAGTGAAAACGACAATCAAATCAAATGGTATTTGTCACATGCGCCGAATACAACAGGTGTATGTCACGAACGTTGAGAGACGGGTCGGACCAAGGTGCAGTGTGAAAAGCGTACATGTTTATTAACTAAATAAACATTCAACAAAACAAGAAACAACGTAAACGTGAAGTCCTCAGGTGAAGTACACATACAAGCCTAAACGGAACAAGATCCCACAATACACAGTAGGCAATGGGCTACTTAAGTATGATCCCCAATCAGAGACAATGAGCGACAGCTGCCTCTGATTGGGAATCACACCCAGCCAAACCTAGAAATACACATCTAGATCCTAAACATAGAAATTCTAACATAGATCCTCACGCCCTGACCAAACCAACTAAAGACAACCGGCCTCTCAAGGCCAGGGCGTGACAGTACCCCCCCCCCCCAAAGGTGCGTACTCCGGCCGCACCAACCTGACTCATTAGGGGAGGATCCGGGTGGGCATTCAGCCTCGGAGGCGAATCCTGCTCAGGGCGTGACGACCTCTCCCTCTCTGCCTCCCCGTTGCGCCCCTGATCTTGTCTGGACCTCGGCGCGATGCTTCCCCTCTCCTTCCTCCCACAATGCACCAAGCCCTGTCTGGACCCTGGTGTGGGAGACCCCGAACCTGGAGAGGGGCTGACGTCTGGGCCTGGATCGGCAATCCTCCCGCGATGCACCAAGCCCTGTTTGGACCCTGGTGTGGGAGACCCCGAACCTGGAGAGGGGCTGACGTCTGGGCCTGGATCGGCAATCCCCCCACGATGCACCAAGCCCTGTCTGGACGCTGGTGTGGGAGACCCCGAACCTGGAGAGGGGCTGACGTCTGGGCCTGGATCGGCAATCCTCCCGCGATGCACCAAGCCCTGTTTGGACCCTGGTGTGGGAGACCCCGAACCTGGAGAGGGGCTGACGTCTGGGCCTGGATCGGCAATCCCCCCACGATGCACCAAGCCCTGTCTGGACCCTGGTGTGGGAGACCCCGAACCTGGAGAGGGGCTGACGTCTGGGCCCGTATCGTCAAACCTCCCGTGATGCACCAAGCCCTGTCTGAACCCTGGTGTGGGAGACCCTGAACCTGGAGAGGGGCTGATGTCTGGGCCCGGATCGGCAATCCTCCCGCGATGCACCAAGCCCTGTCTGAACCCTGGTGTGGGAGACCCCGACCCTGGAGAGGGGCTGACTTCTGGGTCTGGAGTGGAGCCGCTGACCGGAGCTGAACTGGGCACCGGTGGAGCGGACTGCTCTGGCTCCGGAGTGGAGCCGCTGACCGGAGCTGAACTGGACCCCGGTGGAGCGGACTGCTCTGGCTCCGGAGTGGCGCCGCTGACCGGAGCAGGACTGGACCCCGGTGGAGCGGACTGCTCTGGCTCCGCAGTGGAGCCGCTGACCGGAGCTGGACTAGGCACCGGTGGAGCGTACTGCTCTGGCTCCGGAGTGGAACCGCTGACCGGAGCTGGATCAGGCACCAGTGGAGCGGATTGCTCTGGCTCCGGAGTGGATCCGCTGACCGGAGCTGAACTGGGCACTGGTGGAGCGGACTGCTCTGCCTCCGGATTAGAGCCGCTGACCGTTGCTGGACCAGGCACCGGTGGAACAGGCCGGGCCGGACTGGGGACACGCACCACTGGTCTGGTGCGAGGAGCAGGAACGGGCCAGGCCGGACTGGGGACACGCACCACAGGTCTGGTGCGAGGAGCAGGAACAGGCCGGGCCGGACTGGGAACACGCACCACTGGCCTGGTGCGGGGAGCAGGTACGGGCCGTACTGGACTGGTGAGGTGCACTGGTGACACAGTGCGTAGAACCGGAGCAGGATATACTGGACCGTGGAGGCGTACTGGAGGTCTGGAGTGTACAGCTGGCACAACCCGTCCTGGCTGGATGCCCACTTTCACACGGCACGTGCGGGGCGCTGGCACAGGACGCACTAGGCTGTGAACGCGCACTGGCAACACAGTGCGTATCTCTGCATACCTAGGTTCCTCTATGAACACACGCTCCGTCTGTTGCCTGACCAGCTCCTCTCTCCTTGCTTCCACTACTTCCTTCTCCCTTTGAGCCTCCTGTAGCGCCTCCCTCTGAACGGATAACTCCTGCTCCCTCTGAGCTAACAGCCCCCGTAACGTGGTGGCCTCCTCTCTCAGACTCTCGATCCGCAGGTCTTGGAGGACCTTTAAAATAGCGGCCTCCTCCTCTCTAGTCAGCCCTTTCACGGCCTCCTGCTGTCTCATCGTCCACCCCGTGAGCCCCCCCAAACATTTTTCTTGGGGCTGCTTCTCGGACTTCCTCTTCGGCCGGCACCGTTGATGTCGCCGTTGATCCTCTCCTACCCGGGCTTCCTCCTTCATTGCCTTACCGTAACAGACGGCCTCCTCCTCGGTGATTCTCCCCCAACCGAGGAGGACATCTACCAACGTAGCCTCCCGGGTGTTTGCTCCTCCTGGCCACGCTGCTTGGTCCTCGTTTGGTGGGATCTTCTGTCACGAACGTTGAGAGACGGGTCGGACCAAGGTGCAGTGTGAAAAGCGTACATGTTTATTAACTAAATAAACATTCAACAAAACAAGAAACAACGTAAACGTGAAGTCCTCAGGCTATACACATACAAGCCTAAACGGAATAAGATCCCACAACACACAGTAGGCAATGGGCTACTTAAGTATGATCCCCAATCAGAGACAACGAGCGACAGCTGCCTCTGATTGGGAATCACACCCGGCCAAACCTAGAAATACACATCTACGCCCTGACCAAACCAACTAAAGACAACCGGCCTCTCAAGGCCAGGGCGTGACAGTGTAGACCTTACAGTGAAATGCTTACTTACAAGCCCTTAACCAACAATGCAGTTTTAAGAAAAATAGAAAGAAGAAAAATAGAAGAGCAGCAGTAAAATAACAGTAGCGAGGCTATATGTTCAGCAGTCTTATGGCTTGGGGGTAGAAGCTGTTAAGAAGCCTTTTGGACCTAGACTTGGCGCTCCGGTACCGCTTGCCGTGCGGTAGCAGAGAGAACAGTCCATGACTAGGGTGGCTGGAGTCTTTGACAATTTTTAGGGCCTTCCTCTGACACCGCCTGGTATAGAGGTCCTGGATGGCAGGAAGCTTGGCCCCAGTGATGTACTGGGCCGTACGCATTACCCTCTGAAGTGCCTTTCGGTCGGAGGCCGAGCAGTTGCCATACCAGGCAGTGAGGCAACCAGTCAGGATGCTCTCGATGGTGCAGCTGTAGAACTTTTCAGTCTCCTGAGGGGGAATAGGCTTTGTCATGCCCTCTTGTCTTGGTGTGTTTGGACCATGATAGTTTGTTGGAGATGTGGACACCAAGGAACTTGAAGCTCTCAACCTGCTCCACTACAGCCCCGTCGATGAGAATGGGGACGTGCTCGGTCCTCCTTTTCCTGTAGTCCACAATCATCTCCTTTGTCTTGGTCACGTTGAGGAAGAGGTTGTTATTTACATTTACATTTTAGTCATTTAGCAGACGCTCTTATCCAGAGCGACTTACAGTTAGTGAATACATATTTTTATTTTTTTCATACTGGTCCCCCGTGGGAATCGAACCCACAACCCTGGCGTTGCAAACGCCATGCTCTATCAACTGAGCTACATCCCTGCCGGCCATTCCCTCCCCTACCCTGGACAACGCTAGGCCAATTGTGCGCTGCCCATGAGTCTCCCGGTCGCGGCCGGCTGCGACAGAGCCTGAATTCGAACCAGGATCTCTAGTGGCACAGCTAGCACTGCAATGCTGTGCCTTAGACCACTGCGCCACTCAGGAGACCAGTTATCCTGGCACCACACGGCCAGGTCTCTGACCTCCTCCCTATAGACTGTCTCATCGTTGTCGGTGATCAGGCCTACCACTGTTGTGTCGTCGGCAAACTTAATGATGGTGTTGGAGTCGTGCTTGGCTCTGCAGTCATGGGTGAACAGGGAGTACAGGAGGGGACTAAGCATGCACCCCTGAGGGGCCCCCATGTTGAGGATCAGCGTGGCAGATGTGTTGTTACCTACTCTTACCACCTGGGGGCGGCCCGTCAGGAAGTCCAGGATCCAGTTGCAGAGGGAGGTGTTTAGTCCCAGGGTCCTTAGCTTAGTGATGAGCTTTGAGGGCACTATGGTGTTGAACGCTGAGCTGTAGTCAAGTCATACCGCCCCAGTAGATCTGTGGATCTGTTGGGGCGGTATGCAAATTGGAGTGGGTCTAGGGTTTCTGGGATAATGGTGTTGATGTGAGCAATGACCAGCCTTTCAAAGCACTTTATGATGATTTACGTTCCAACAGGACAATGACCCCAAGCATACATCGAAAGCAACACTTGAATGGCTTCAGAACAAGAATGTGAAAGACCTTGAGTGGCCCAGCCAAAGCCCAGACTTGAATGCCATTGAAAATGTGTGGAAAGACTTCCCACTCCCCATCTAACTTAACAGAGCTTGAGAAAATCTGAGAGAAAGAATGGGAGAAAATCCCCAAATCCAGATATGCAAAGCCGATACAGACATACCCAAGACGACTTAAAGCTGTAATTGCCACCAAAGGTGCTTCTACAAAGTATTGACTCCGGGGTGTGAATACTTATGTAAATGAGATATTTGTGTATTGCATTTTCAATACAATAGCAAAAATGTCTAAAAACGTGTTTTCACTTTGTCATTATGGGGTAATCCATTTTTTATTCAGGCTGTAACACAACAAAGTGTGGAATAAGTGGAGGGGTCTGAATACTTTCTGAAGACACTGTATGTGTAAATTGGACAGCAGCAGATTTCTCTTATCAACTATTTTAACTGACCTCTGTTCTCCCTCTGCAGGTCGTTTGGAGTACTGCTCTGGGAGATTTTCTCTCTAGGCTACATGCCTTATCCCTGCAAAACCAACCAGGAGGTTCTGGAGTTTGTGACGAGTGGGGGGAGGATGGACCCCCCTAAGAGCTGTCCCGGGCCTGTGTGAGTAGATCAGATTGAGCTTATGGAGAGTTTACTCTCTTGACGGGAGTTTATAATGCATTTAGGGCCGTTGCAAGGCAATATGCAGTTTTAGACTTAAATCCATTATTGAGTCTGCTTTTCTCCAACTCTATTCTGTAGGTACAGGATCATGACTCAGTGCTGGCAGCACTGCCCTGAACACAGACCCAATTTCTCCACCATTCTGGAGAGGATCAACTACTGCACTCAGGTAAATAAAAAAATAGGTACTGGCCCACTCGCAGCCAGGGATGCATTTTCTTTACAACACTCACCATACATATTCACCGTTTTATATTCTCTCTCTTTTCTTCCGCCCAGGACCCTGATGTGATCAACACGCCCCTGCCTGTGGAGTACGGTCCCACAGTGGAGGAGGAGTTAAGCACTGTGATCCGCCCTGAAACCCCAGGCAGTCTGACCCCTCTGCTGGTGGCCCACTCTGCCTCCCAGGAGGTCTCTCCCCAGATCACGTCGCTGCCCCAGCCCCACAAGCCCCATCTGCTGCTGCAGAGGCCCCAGCAGCTGCCTCAGGAGGTGGCCTCCTACCGCGAGGCCCTGAAGCCCTGCTGGGCTGAGCCTGTCCCTGCTCCGGGTCCAGGGATCTGCCCTGGTGCCTGGCTTCACCCCGAGCCCCTCAACCGGCCCTGCTCCAGGGACAGCTCCTTCTCAGGCAGCCAGAAGCTAAAAAACAAGACCAAGAACCTGTGGAACCCAACCTATGGCTCCTGGGTGCTGGAGAGCTTTGGTCGGGGGAAGACAGCCCTATCTCATACCAAGTCCATGCCCCTGTCCAGCAGCTCCTCCGCCCCCCAGGCAGCCACCCCTACCTCTGAGTGCAACCAGTCTGGGTGCGATGGCAGCAGTGACCTCCATGCCCCCAGTAGTCTGTGCTCCTCGTCCTGCCAGGCCCTCTCCACTTCCCAGCCCCAGAAGGCCCAAGCAGGGGGAGCCAGTGGGGGCCAGACCCTGGGCATGGACCTGGCTAAGCTGCAGAGCTTCCCCTGTGGCAATGTCAACTATGCCTACGATGAGCAGAGCTATGAGGCAGAGAGCCTGCCCCTGGTGGTGCCCAAAGGCCCAAAGCCCTGCCCCAGCACCAGTGCCAGCACCAGCTGTGCCCCCAGCACCTCTTTCTCCTCGTCCTTCTCCTCCTGCTCAGGGGCAGGCCTGGGTGTGGCCTCCTCCTGTATGCCCAAACTGCTACTGAAGCGCCATGCCAGCTATGGACACGAGGATGTGAGGAGACACACCAAGCCTGAGAAACCCACCCGGGACAGAGACTCAGGCTTCTCTCTGTCTGAGGACCTCAGCGTCACCCCTGTCTAACCCTGGCCCCTGGGTGAGCGGAGCAGAACACTGGAACAGACCCCACACCTCACTGGCAATGCACAGGAACACACTATTGGAGATGGCAGACATTTTCACCAAATCATTTTCACTCCCTTTTTGTCGATTCATTGCTTTGTTTTATAAAGTTTTGGTACTACTGATGATGCGTTGTAGTTAGTATAGATGGTGTGAGAATTAAATGAAAGCCCACAGTAGCAAGAAAACACAACAGCTTAAATACAGAAGGAGATGCTGCTTTGCCTGGAGACAGGTAGCATGTTCTCTTCCTGAGGTGGAATATGACACAACCCAAGAAGGCCGCCATTGGCACAGAAGCACACCCAAGCCTCAGAGGATTTCTAGGCCCTAGCTGGATTCATCTGCATCCATTCAAATGTGCAGCGTCTCCTCTGGTTCAGGGCTCTTTTGTTAATCCATTCCTTTCTTCTCTGTTTATAACATTACCTTGTTAGGTTTACACTGGAATTAATGACTGGGATTGACTGCTAAATCAATACTGTGAAAACAGATAGGAAGCTCTGGTTGCCTATGCAGGTGATGGTAAGGCAGAAAGGAGAATTTCAGTATGACTAGACCAGAGAGAGTGTATGAACTTGTGATAACAATTATAATGACTTGTGCTGTCTACTGTTCCCTATCTGGCTCATAAGCAAAAGTGAATCTCTTGTTTAGAATTGTCATAGTTATTTTGTAGATAGCATTTACATTTTATTAATACCGTAGTCTGTTTTACTGTATTATAGGCATTGACTACTAATACTTCACCCTCTCTACATGCATTTAATCTTATGGTGACTGTTCTCACTCTTTACTGAAGAGTGTTTTAGAGACACCAAGAGCAGGGAATGTGGTAGTAGGAGCTCCTCTGTAATTTGTCCATCTTGTTCCAACACGGAAAATGTTAATACTACTGACTTTCACCTTGGCTACACCAATATATTAAATACTATTATTTCACATTGGAATTCCTATGTAAACTGGACTAACTCATTCAATTTGTAGCAGTTATACTTCATTTATAACTTCATTTATAACGTGTTTTTGTATATGTTTATGTGTCTTGTAGTTGATCACTGCCATTGGGTCTGCAAGAGCACTAGTGTTTGTGATGTAATACTCTACACTACCTCTTATACTCAGCAGGGGGCAGCACTCTCATGCAATACCAAATAGTTTGTATTTGTATTTCACTAGAGGGCTTGCTTGCTATTTATGACACAATAACATTTATTATTGTTATGAGTTGTTGTTAAAGCAGTAAGGTTGCTGATATACATGTTAGCTTATTACACTGAAATAAAGTTTACTGGTTGCAATAATGTTAGGTTACGATAATGTTATATGGTTCCATGATGCACTTTGTAGCCATCTCAAAGTCTGACGATATTTCTGAATGGAGCCTAAAGGTATAAAAGTCTTGTCATGCTCTTGACAACATCACTATTACTCACGATTTGTAAATCTGCTGAGACCTTGAGGGATTGTGTTTATTTTAGGATCCATGGGAGCCTATATACAGTTGAAGTCGGAAGTTTACATACACCTTAGCCAAATACATTTAAACTCAGTTTTTCACAATTCCTGACATTTAACCTAGTAAAAATTCCCTGTTTTAGGTCAGTTAGGATCCCCACTTTATTTTAAGAATGTGAAATGTCAGAATAATAGTAGAGATAATTATTTCTTTCAGCTTTTATTTCTTTCATCACATTCCCAGTGGGTCAGAAGTTTACATACACTCAATTAGTATTTGGTAGCATTGCCTTTAAATTCTTTAACTTGGGTTAAACGTTTCGGGTAGCCTTCCACAAGCTTCCCACAATAAGTTGCATGAATTTTGGCCTATTCCTACTGACAGAGCTGGTGTAACTGAGTCAGGTTTGTAGGCCTCCTTGCTCGCACACGCGTTTTCAGTTCTGCCCACACATTTTCTATAGGATTGAGGTCAGGGCTTTGTGATGGCCACTCCAATACCTTGACTTTGTTGTCCTTAAGCCATTTTGCCACAACTTTGGAAGTATGCTTGGGGTCATTGTCCATTTGGAAGACCCATTTGCGACCAAGCTTTAACTTCCTGACGTCTTGAGATGTTGCTTCAATATATCCACATAATTTTCCTTCGTCATGATGCCATCTATTTTGTGAAGTGCACCAGTCCCTCCTGCAGCAAAGCACCCCCACAGCATGATGCTGCCACCCCCGTGCTTCACGGTTGGGATGGTGTTCTTCGGCTTGCAAGCCACCCCCTTTTTTGTCCAAACATAACGATGGTCATTACGGCCCAAAAGTTATATTTTTGTTTCATCAGACCAGAGGACATTTCTCCAAAAAGTAAGATCTTTGTCCCCATGTGCAGTTGCAAACCGTAGTCTGGCTTTTTTATGGCGGTTTTGGAGCAGTGGCTTCTTCCTCGCTGAGCGGCCTTTCAGGTTATGTCGATATAGGACTCGTTTTACTGTGGATATAGATACTTTTGCACCTGTTTCCTCCAGCATCTTTACAAGGTTCTTTGCTGTTGTTCTGGGATTGATTTGCACTATTCGTATCAAAGTACGTTCATCTCTAGGAGACAGAACGCGTCTCCTTCCTGAGTGGTATGATGGCTGCGTGGTCCCATGGTGTTTATACTTGCGTACTATTGTTTGTACAGATGAACGTGGTACCTTCAGGCATTTGGAAATTGCTCCCAAGGATGAACCAGACTTGTGGAGGTCTACCATTTTTTTTCTGATGTCTTGGGTGATTTCTTTTGATTTTCCCATGATGTCAAGCAAAGAGGCACTGAGTTTGAAGGTAGACCTTGAAATACATCCACAGGTACACCTCCAATTGACTCAAATTATGTCAATTAGCCTATCAGAAGCTTCTAAAACCATGACATCATTTTCTGGAATTTTCCAAGCTGTTTAAAGGCACAGTCAACTTAGTATATGTAAACTTCTGACCCACTTGAATTGTGATACAGTGAATTATAATGAAATAATCTGTCTGTAAACAATTGTTGAAAAAATGACTTGTGTCATGCACAAAGTAGATGTCCTAACCAACTTGCCAAAACTATAGTTTGTTAACAAGAAATGTGTGGAGTGGTTGAAAAATGAGTTTTAATGACTCCAACCTAAGTGTATGTAAACTTCCGACTTCAACTGTATTACAGTGAAGAACCCCCCTATATGGATTCTACCTGGTAAGGTACAATCTCCTAAACAAATGTTTGTCTGTGAAAACAATTGTATTTTAGTTCACATATTTTCCTTAGAATATTGTGTCAAGGCTTAATTTCTGCAGATCCAAAGTTGTGTGCCTCTACACAGAAGAACAAATGCTATAAACTCTATGCAATATACTTGTTCTTGTATACTTCTACCCCAAATAAATGAATAAATATTTCTCTCCTTTGTGTTTTGATAAGTGTTTTATAATACAGCAAGACAGATTTTTGCTTGTACATATGACAGAAATCCCAATACACAACCATTTCTAACTCATTGGGACAAGGCAATAGTGTTTTTCTGAGGTTAGTCTCATGGACTGTCATAATACAATACTTGCTAGAAAAAGTGATACATTTTTCATTCATCCTTCGTCATGATAATGAGATGATCCTAAAGACGCACTGGTGTATGTAACTGTATTAGAATAGAGTATGCCTAATGTCTTCAATAAAGTTTGAAAAATACAAAATAAAATAGAACATGCTTGATTATCAAAAATGTCAATCAATCAAATCTAATGACACCTTGGAATATGGAATGGGTTGGATTTCTATGCAATACTGTCCCTTACATCGATAGTATTGTATGGCTTTCTAGAATATAATCACAGGTTTCTGTCTATTCATTAATTTGCATCCCCTAAAATCCATAGTTTGTTCACAAGACACAGACATACTTTAAAAAACTCCCTCTCTTATCTCCATGCTACAATAGTTTCAACAATACGCTGAGATCCAATTTGTTGTGCTCAATACAGTAAGTAGGTAAGCTGTAAGTTTGATTTACACAGTATGTATACTTTGTGATTGACGGGACCCTTGAGACTGTATATTACTGCCAGGGTCCTCTAACTACTAGAATGGTGTAGTCCATCTCTCCCAGGTGGCCATAGCTTAAAGGCACTCATTAGTCCATTTACTAGTTTATGAACTAGTTCCTTCACTAGTTCCTTTGTTAGTCAAAGAGCCCAGTGTCCTCATCAGGTTGTCCAGTCCCCACATGTATCCGTCCTCTCGGTTGCCCTCCTGCCAGGGTATGCAGTGGTCCAGAGTCTGTCCCTCTGGTAAAGCTGTAGTCTTGCCAAAGTCAATGAGCCAAACATCAGCTTGCCCAGTGTGGTCATGAATGAAGAGGAGGGAGCTTCCAATCACCTTGGAGAGAGAAGACTTGTACTCATTACAATATCCACTGGCCATACACTGGTTGAATCAACAGTGTTTCCACATAATTTCAATGAAATTACATTGAACCAACGTGGAATAGATGTTGAATTGACGTCTTTGCCCAGTGGGTATAATCATTCATATTATTTACCGGTCTGCCTCATAAAAGCTCTTAGATGTGTTTAATATATCTAATGTGATGAACAAACGTTAACAGAAAACAGGTGCAGATGAACTAAAGTTTCTATATTCACCTCGTGTCTCTTGAAGAACTCAGATGACTTCAGGGCTTGTTGAATTTCTTCTAGTTTTCTCAGGTAGGAAATCTGTATTAGAGAGGCAATATGATTATTCTGGCTGTAGAGTTGAGACTTGGGAGCCTCCCTTGATAAATTCATTAAATCAATAGAGGTTATATGTCTAGGTCGTTCAATTCTATTTGCTATCTGTCATTCCAACAGGATCTACTGTAGTGCATATTGCCATGTGGGTTGCTCATCCTATCCAAATATTTACCAATGTGTCCAATCTTACAAAAGACAGGTAAAGTCAAACCAATTTGTTTGACTCTTCAAGTATTCACTTTACATGTGACATGTACATGTACTGTATGTCTCTATTTGTCTAAGAATCAGCAGACCATGCAAATGAATGCGGATGCAACACCATAACAGGTAAGACTAGTAGCTGTCAACCTACTAGTATGTTTGTGTTGTTTGTGGCAAAGTCCCTGAAGACCTGTGTGACATCCTCCTTAGACCGGGTCTTCTTGAAATCCGTATGGCACGTCCCGTCAGCTTTCTGAAAGAAGGAACAGTCAATATGTTGATAAGCAGCACTGTCCACGTGCAACAGGGTCAAGGCTTCAACATGACTTCATTACATACAGTATGTAATGAACTTCACATGAAAAACTGTGCAACATTAACCATAAAAAATGTTTTTAGTCCAGAAATAAGGCTTTTGTATATGTTCTGGTTTAAATGAAAAGGGATCTCTGTGGTGGCGTTTTGAGTGAACACTGACTGAATTCCTTCCTTTATGTTGACACACATGTTGACACACGGGTACTTGCTTTGATGCCTTCGATGCGGAAGCCCAGTGTGTGTGTGGAGCTGAGGGTCTCTCTCCACTGCATATAGCGGGGTTTGGTGACGGCCCTCTGGAGGTGCTCCTGGGGGCTGGGGGCCTCACTGTCCACCTCCAGCATCTTGTCAAACAGGTCCCTACGGAGCTTAGGTCGCTCTCGGGCTCGAACCAGCTCCTCCTCCAGATACGTCCTGAGGAGAGGACAACAGGGAGAGACACACTGAGGGGCCATGACACTATTTAGCACCCTCACAGCTAAGTGACTTTTCATTTGGTCTTGTTGTGTATGATAGCTGAGTGGCATTACAGACAATGGCATGTTATACTTAAGCAATAAAGCCCGAGGGGGTGTGGTATATGGCCAATATACCATGGCTAAGGGCTGTTCTTAGACATGACGCAAAGCGGAGTGCCTGGATACAGCCCTTAGCCGTGGTATATTGGCCATATACCACAAACCCCAGAGGTGCCTTATTGCTATTATAAACTGGTTACCAACGTAATTAGAGCAGTAAAAATAAATGTTTTCTCATACCCGTGGTATAAGGCTGTCAGCCAATTAGCATTCAGGGCTCGAACCACCCAGTTTATAATATTACTTTTTTATGCTTTGGATGGTAGAATTGACTTGCTAATTCAACATGTATCGCTAAAGCGTTACAGATTGCGCAATAGAATGTAAAGGTAATTTACGATTGAGCCGACATATGCAGCGTTTACCGTAATGGAAGTCTCCGCTAACGCGGGAACATTGCCTTTAAATTTCAATCACGCTGAAACGCTGAACTTCCACTATGTAGATTGAATAGAGCCCTAAGTCTTATTTGGCAGAGTCCTATGTGCAGTGAATTTCAGTTTCATTCTGCTAACTGAACTTCCTCTGTATAAAAGAAGGAAGCCAGGAGGAGACTCCAAAGTACACAGCATGACTGTTAGTTTAATTGTTTGACAGTATGAGTGTGTGTTAGCAGTAGGTGAAAGAGCTTGGGTGGTTCTGTGTGTTTGTCAAAAGGGAGTCACCAGGGACACCCTATGCCTGCACTCCATCTCCCCACTTTGTGTGTGTGTGTATGTGTGTGTGTGTGTGTATGTGTGTGTGTGTGTGTGTGCGTGTGTATGTGCGCGTGTGTGTGTGTGTGTGCGCGCGCGTGTGTGTGTATGTGTGTCTACATGTGAGTACGTGTGTACATGAGTGTGTGTGTATGTGGTTCTTTCTGGCTGTGTACAGGAAACATGTGGCTCAGTAGTGATGGCCTCTCTGTGTGCCTTGACGCACAACCCACTGTGTGTGGCAGGAAATCCTCAGAGAACCAGTAACAACAGGTGTTTTATCAAGAGCAAACAGAACAGGTTGACAGTCTGTATGTTCTACTATCAGGAGCAGTGAGTGACGTGTAAGAGGGATATTGGTAAATTACAGTAGTCCAACAGTGATTTGTTAGTATTATCTCAACATTGCTTAATACCTTGTTGCACCTAATCCACCTATAGGGCCAGACATATGTAGTATTCTGCACATTATTATAGAACAGACATACTGCTGCTCCCTACTCACTACACCTTCTCCCTACTTACTAATGCTGCTCCCTACTCTCTACTGCTGCTCCCTACTCACTATTGCTGCTCCCTACTCACTAATGCTGCTCCCTACTCTCTACTGCTGCTCCCTACTCACTATTGCTGCTCCCTACACACTAATGTGCCCTTGAGCAAGGCACTTAACCCTAATTGCTCCTGTAAGTCGCTCTGGATAAGAGCGTCTGCTAAATGACTAAAATGTAATGTAAATGTACTGCTGCTCCCTACTCACTACTGCTGCTCCCTCCTGCTGCTCCCTACTCACTACTGCTGCTCCCTACACACTACTGCTGCTCCCTACTCACTACTGCTATTCACTACTGCTGCTCCCTACTCACTACTGCTGCTCCCTACACACTACTGCTGCTCCCTACTCACTACTGCTGCTCCCTCCTGCTGCTCCCTACTCACTACTGCTGCTCCCTACTCACTACTGTTGCTCCCTACACACTACTGCTGCTCCCTACTCACTACTGCTATTCACTACTGCTGCTCCCTACTCACTACTGCTGCTCCCTTACCTCACTCCCATCTTGCAGTCCATGACACTAGGTCTATCAAAGTTGACCAGTAGATCTGTCATATGTAGGAAGGGATCCCCATCCCTCTCTACAACACCATGGTATCCTGGTACAAAGTCCTGGAGCACGTCTCCCTGCAGTCTCTCAAAACACAGCTTCTCATTCTCAGAGAACTTTTTCAGAATGGTGCCTTCTTCGCCAGCTTTGAAATTACCTGGAAAAGATAAGCAATGACACACTGACATTCCACAGCAAACCACTAACGACTGCCAGTTTCAGATGGAATCTGACATTGTGTGTAATGGGTTAGTATTGTATTAAAGTGACCAGTAGTATACAGTAGTCTCTGTGTCTTGTGTTCTTTATTTTGTGTGGAAGATGTACAGTACACATCATCTTACATTAGTGATTAGTTCTTGGTATGCTGCTGTGATAGGTGAGGGGTCATGTCCATGATGACTGTGTTTTACCTTTGTGTCCAGCTAGTTGAACCCAGGACAGATTTCTTCTCTGGGGGGAAACAAAAGGCCAGTTGACGATAGCCTTTATCTTCCACCAAGATTTGCTCTGCTGAAGAAGGACCAAGCACAGGAACAGTCAGCTTTACCTCTATGGATTATCTGGCTCATTATTAACCAGGCAGAGACACTGTCCTCAAGACAGCGCTCACCAGTAGGGTGGATGTAAATGAAGTTGTATAACGATAATAATCTTGGATAATGATCATGATTTGAATTCAATTGATGACGGACAGCTGTCTAAATCACTTGGCCACTGTTACTTGAGTAATTTGCTACTGTACGTCACTAACCCTAGCTTCATGTCCTCATCCCGGCTCAACTCTAATCCTAGCCTCAAACCTAACCCTGACCCAAGCCTTAACCCTAGCCTCAAACCTAACCCTGACCCAAGCCTTAACCCTAGACTCAAACCTAACCCTGACCCAAGCCTTAACCCTAGACTCAAACCTAACCCTGACCCAAGCCTTAACCCTAGCCTCAAACCTAACCCTGACCCAAGCCTTAACCCTAGCCTCAAACCTAACCCTGACCCAAGCCTTAACCCTAGCCTCAAACCCAACCCTGACCCAAGCCTTAACCCTAGCCTCAAACCTAACCCTGGTCCAAGCCTTAACCCTAGCCTCAAACCTAACCCTGACCCAAGCCTTAACCCTAGCCTCAAACCCAACCCTGGTCCAAGCCTTAACCCTAGCCTCAAACCTAACCCTGACCCAAGCCTTAACCCTAGCCTCATCCGCAAACATATTAGTCTCTTACATGTTGTCATTTCTGTGGAACTCACATTTCCCTACCAGCTGCTGTGTATGGTCGCACTTGACTGACTTGCTGTTGCCATGTGATTTGCATTAAGACATAGTCATGGAGATCTTGTTCAACAAGATCTGGATGATTCAGACAGAGAAATTATGACTTTGTTTCCCTATGTGTGATGAGATGTTGAGTGAGTCACACATCATGTGACTCACTCAACCGGGAGACCCATGGGCGGCGCATAATTGGCCCTGCGTCGTCCAGGGTAGGGGAGGGAATGGCCGGCAGGGATGTAGCTCAGTTGGTAGAGCATGGTGTTTGCAACGCCAGGGTTGTGGGTTCAATTCCCACGGGGGGCCAGTATGAAAAATAAAATAATGTATGCACTCACTCTGCTAAATGACTAAAATGTAAATGTAATGTTCACAGCAGACATGCTTCACAGACAGACAAGTACTTAGCACGTGCTTGATGACACAGAAGTGATACATAATGTTATTTTTTAGATCGATTTCACAATAGCTCGATGTACAGTGATTCAGGGTTATGACTGAGACAGAGGTCGGAGGTCACTATTCAGTATGCTGAGATTGCAGTAAAAGGAAGTAAAGCCCTGGTAATTGGCTTCAGTGAAAGAACACTACTCATTCTATTGAGTGTAAACACTCAAAACAAATAACAGAACCCACAGCCACTCTGAAAGGTCAAGTGATATGCGCCACTCGCTGGTGTTGTTGATGTGGCGTATAAAGTTGAATTGTTGTTGTAATAATAGCCAGCTGTGTGGGTGTCATGTTTCCACACAGTCCTTCAACTCTCTCTCAAACACATAACTAACAGCCAATAGTAATACTGACAACCTATTCATCAACATGTATTTTAAAAAAGCCCTGTGCTCTGTCAAGATAAGGAAATATGAACATATAGTCCTTTCATTTGTGGCTACACAGTAATTCTAAAAAAGTGAAGTAGTGTAAAAGATGAAGTAGAATTTCAACATTGTAGTAGGTGTTTCAATTCCTGAAAATAAATGCTCAATTTTAACTGTATGCAGTGTGTTATCTCACAAACTACAATACAACGCAATGTTTGTGAAAAATGTTTCTTTCTATAACCCTCTAGATAATACATACCTGGTTAGTTCTGGGACAAACCTTACTTTGTAAAGCCGGGCCTATTGTGGTTCACAGACTGACAGAAAATAAGGCATCTACAATCAGCTGCAAATAAAGCCTACTACATATTAACTTTACCAATTACAATGTCATAACAGTAACAAGAACAGGAACAAGGGAGTAACAATACTGTATGATTCACTCAAGCTGTTGATTCACTCAATACTGTATGATTCACTCAAGCTGTTGATTCACTCAATACTGTATGATTCACTCAAGCTGTTGATTCACTCAATACTGTATGATTCACTCAAGCTGTTGATTCACTCAATACTGTATGATTCACTCAAGCTGTTGATTCACTCAATACTGTATGATTCACTCGGTTTCTCAACCTGGCACATTCTAATATGAGCATGCATTAGCATACGTGTATTTGACAAATTGCTAGCATCAATAAATGTGATGTCATCAAAATTCACTCCTCTTTTTCACTACAAGTCACTGTCATACTGGAAATACAGAGAACGGGTAACCTAGAGTACAAAGTAGTAGTTTTCTTGCTGTGTTGAAAGTTCAATACCTAAATGTCAATGTGGCTGAAATTGGCACACAACCATTTGTCATAGACTCATAGGACTATGGGGGTGACTTGTAATGTAAGTGTGGGGGCTGACTGGACATTTTATCTGCTATAAACAAAGGGTATAGAGAGTTAATGCAATCTCTCTTTTCAGATGTTTTGAATGACTAGAAAGATCAATGAAATGGTTGGGTATGAGAGCTTTTCAAGTGGCCTGCCCCTGTTGAAACACTGAACACTGAGCAGTGTTCCACAATGTACACAGCCCATCCTTCCCTTCCAGTAGGGCCAAGCAATATGTATTCAGCGTTTTTAAAGGAAGTTGACAGGAATGGCCTTCTATGGAGATGGCTGAGCATAGCTCTGAAGAGTTACACAGATGTACAGACACCGATGTCGGAGACAAAGTCAAATATGGCTTCTGACAACAAGCAGATACAGAGGCCTTAGAAGTCCCACATGTTTTTTACGTTCATAAGTGACATTATTTGAAAACTTTGTTGGATCATCATACACACAGCAAATTCTCCAGTGTTAAAAAAACAAAACACTGAGTGTGTTAAATCAACACTGAAAGTGTTGAGTCTGTGGACCCCTATAGACACCGGAACAATGTTAAATTAACATACTGCTTAGTGTAAAGCCTTATTCAAATATTTCCCAGAGTGCCTTTCCTTTCAAGGCCTGCGGTATGGCCTGAGGTATGAACTTGGGTACAATTATGCACTCATTACTGACCTTTGTACCACTACAGAGACAAGTGTTTGTACCCGTTTAGGAACAAATCTAAACCTTTTTTTCTGAGAGTGTAATACAATGACCTGAAACTCATCAGGCCTGCAAGTCACATTATGCTGGTTTAGGGAAAGTGGATACCTACACTACCAGTCAAAAGTTTGGACACACCTACTCATTCAAGGGTTTTTCTTTATTTTTACTATTTTTTACATTGTAGAATAATAGTGAAGACATCAAAACTATGAAATAACACATATGGAATCATGTAGTAACCAAAAACGTGTTAAACAAATCAAAATATATTTTATATTTGAGATTCTTCAAAGTAGGCACCCTTTGCCTTGATGACAGCTTTGCACACTCTTGGCATTTTCTCAACCAGCTTCACCTGGAAAGCTTTTCCAACAGTCTTGAAGGAGTTCCCACATATGCTGAGCACTTGTTGGCTGCTTTTCCTTCACTCTGTGGTCCGACTCATCCCAAACCATCTCAATTGGGTTAAGGTTGGGGGATTGTGAAGGCCAGGTCATCTGATGCAGCACTCCATCACTCTCCTTCTTGGTCAAATAGCCCTTACACAGCCTGGAGGTGTGTTGGGTCATTGTCCTGTTGAAAAACAAATGATAGTCCCACTAAGCCCAAACCAGATGGGATGGCATATCGCTGCAGAATGCTGTGGTAGCCATGCTGGTTAAGTGTGCCTTGAATTCTAAATAAATCACTGACAGTGTCACCAGCAAGCACCCTCACACCATCACGCCTCCTCCTCCATGCTTTACGGTGGGAAATACACATGCAGAGATAATCCATTCACCCACACCCCGTCTCACAAAGACACGGCGGTTGGAACCAAAAATCTCAAATTTGGACTACAGACCAAAGGACACATTTCCACTGGTCTAATGTCTATTGGCCCAAGCAAGTCTCTTCTTCTTATTGGTGTCCTTTAGTAGTGGTTTCTTTGCAGCAATTCGACCATGAAGGCCTGATTCACACAGTCCCCTCTGAACAGTTGATGTTGAGATGTATCTGTTACTTGAACTCTGTGAAGCATTTATTTGGGTTGCAATTTCTGAGGCTGTTAACTCTAATGAACTTATCCTCTGCAGCAGAGGTAACTCTGGGTCTTCCATTCCTGTGGCGGTCCTCATGAGAGCCAGTTTCATCATATTGCTTGATGGTTTTTGCGACTGCACTTGAAGAAACTTTCAAAGTTCTTGAAATGTTCCGTATTGACTGACCATGTCTTAAAGTAATGATGGACTGTTGTTTCTCTTTGCTTATATGGACTTAGTCTTTGACCAAATAGGGCTATCTTCTGTATACCCCCCTACCTTGTCACAACACAACTGATTGGCTCAAACACATTAAGAAGGAAGAAATTCCACAAATTAACTTTTAAATTTTAGTCATTTAGCAGACGCTCTTATCCAGAGCGACTTACAGTTAGTGAATACATATTTTTTTTATACTGGCCCCCCGTGGGAATCGAACCCACAACCCTGGCGTTGCAAACGCCATGCTCTATCAACTGAGCTACATCCCTGCTGGCCATTCCCTCCTCTACCCTGGACAAATTGTGCGCCGCCCATGAGTCTCCCGGTCGCGGCCGGCTGCGACAGAGCCTGGCTTCGAACCAGGATCTCTAGTGGCACAGTTAGCACTGCGATGCAGTGCCTTAGACCACTGCGCCACTCAGGAGCTCAATTAACAAGGCACACCTGTTAATTGAAATGCATTCCAGCTGACTACCTTATGAAGCTGGTTGAGAGAATGCCAAGAGTGTGCAAAGCTGTCATCAAGGCAAAGGGTGGATATTTGAAGAATCTCAGATATAACATATATTTTGATTTGTTTAACACT